GTCTCTCTTGCTGTGTCCTGGAAGTTGAGCTTTGACAAGATGCTAATATACGTGGATTGCTCTTGAGTATAAGAGGGAGTAAGGAAACCTACCCCTGATCTTCTAGTTTAACCTTTCTATAATAATTCTTACATTCCCGCCGACATTTCTCCAATAAAAATAGCAACGTCCTATTCCATCATTCATCATCATTTTCCTATATATACCCTCCCATTTCACTAGGTTGCCCCAGCCACTCTGGGCGGATTCCAACATATAAAAAAACATTAAAAGAGAAACATTTAAAAACTTCCCTATACAGGGCTGTCTTCAGATGGTTTGGGGGGTCAGGTAACTCCATACCCACCAACATTTCTCCGATGAAAATGGGGACATCCTAAGGCAAAGCTATGGGACGCGGGTGGCGCTGTGGGTAAAAGCCTTAGCGCCTAGGGCTTGCCGATTGAAAGGTCGGCGGTTCGAATCCCCGCGGCGGGGTGCGCTCCCGTCGCTCGGTCCCAGCGCCTGCCAACCTAGCAGTTCGAAAGCACCCTCGGGTGCAAGTAGATAAATAGGGACCGCTTACTAGCGGGAAGGTAAACGGCGTTCCGTGTGCTGCGCTGGCTCGCCAGATGCAGCTTGTCACGCTGGCCACGTGACCCGGAAGTGTCTCCGGACAGCGCTGGCCCCCGGCCTCTTGAGTGAGATGGGCGCACAACCCCGGAGTCTGTCAAGACTGGCCCGTACGGGCAGGGGTACCTTTACCTTTTTAAGGCAAAGCAGGACATTCTGGGATCAGATTAGAAACCAAGACAGCTTCTGTAAACCCAGGACTGTCCCTGGAAAATAGGGACACTTGGAGGGTCTGTTATTAGCTGTGTATTCTCAGTACAGGTGAGATATGTTTTGAATGTAATTTTTACTTTACTATGGGCTTCCTTCAGCCCCCAGCCACTAGTTTGGCTAAACACTGAATGGAACACGCTCAGTTTCTCAAATGTTACAGGCTGCATCTCTTTCTTTTCAATGCCTTTTAGCATCACTGTTTACATTTGTTCTGTATCGCTCTCTGTGTGTACACAAATACATATGCATGTATAATTCTGCCAACTAAGAACATGCTTCATGGATCTGATGGACTCTAGTCCACAAAAGCTAATACATTGCTGTAAGAAATCTATTAAGCTGCGGTCCTAACCCTACTTACTTGCGAGTAAGCCCCAACTAATTGAATGGGACTTACTTTTCTAAGTAGATATGGTTAGGATTGTGCCGTTGGTCTTTCATGTGCCGCAAGAGTCTTATTTGTACTTTCTCAAGTGTTAACTGAGCCTATTTATTCATATTTTGTTTGCGGTGCAGAAACCATTTTTTTAAAAAATTGTTACAGATATTTTTGGTAGGTTTTGAATGGGGTCATGTACTTTGGGGAAGTGGAGCTGGGATACTGACTGTGAAGAACAAGAAAGTGAATAAAGCATATAATTTTGTAGTACTGTATTTAAATGATAGGCCCTCATAGTTTTTTTGGGATAGCATCTAATGGAATTAGTTCTTCCTTTTAAGTGTGTTACTGCATGGTAGAACAGTAGCAGGTTGTTTTACAATGCTGGGATATAACTAACAAGCTCAGTGTTTTTGGGAGGATTGTCATATCTGTGATATGCAAAAAAATATATTGTAGTGACATGCAATGTTTATAAGATTTCTTATGTTTCTACGTCTTTTCTTTGTCCTTGATAAAGGTCATAAGACCCAAAGTAAAGCAAGTATTTTATATAAAAACAAAAAAGTCTATTTTTAAGCTTGAATGGAGACTGTAGTCCGACAATAAAGACTTTATATTGTTTTAGGCTACCAACTCAGCTGTTTTCTATGGACAAAACAAATCATGCTTGGAGCCTATGTGAACTTACGGTTGTGCCAAGCATTCACCACTTTTAATTATTAGGTCAAAATAAATAATTGTAGTTTTTTGTCTATAAGATGCCCCATGTATAAGACGCCTCCTATTTTGGGGGATTCTGATTTAAGAAAACGGGGGCAGATGGCCAAGAGTTGTTGAGTTTTTTTTGGAGTGGATTACCCACAATTTTTGAGCTTTTTTTGGGTGGGTGGGGATTGTCGAAAATCGCTCATCTGCAGCTGTCAATCGACCGTGCTATGCCACAGAGCCAGCCAATCGCAAACAGCCCTTCACACAGCCACCAATCACCTGCCCCATTGCTGCTCAAAATCTTGTGGCTGCAACCAGTCGCCCAACTCCCTTCTGCACTACCCATGTATAAGACGAGGGCAAATTTTAAAGCTAATTTGTAAAGAAAGAAACCCTAGTCTTATACGCGGAAAAGTATGGTATTTTCTACCCAAATACACCAGCAGTACAATGCTACACGTGTCTACTCAGAAGTCTAATGGAGTTCAATTGAACTTTCTCCCAAGTAAGTAAATATATAGGCGTTGTAGCCACTGTAACCTGAAAGAAAAAAATGAGGGGTTGAGAAGGGTCAGTTGCAGGGGAGTGAGAAATGTCCCTATTTTCACCTGAGGATGTTGAAGGGTTTGCTGTCAATTAATGTGACCTGGTTGCTCTTTCACAGATATGAACGAGGGAAAGGGAAAGCCGCGGGTAGAACCCAGGCCATGTTTGTTTGTTATACACGGTGGAGTTGAGAAGAGCACCTCTTTAAGACCTAAGCACTAATAAACCTAAAAATGAGAGCAGCAGCAAACTTTCCACTTGTGCCAGAATTAACAAAACTGCACATATCTGGCACAAGCGTTGTGCTTGCTGATGGGTTGGGTTTACAACCTGCATTCCTATGCTGATGTCCATCCTAAGATCAGATGCTCCTGACCTTGATAGATCAGATTCATGGAATAAGCAGCAGGAAGGAGGCCACCCATTTACTATAAATACGTCTTTCAGTTCTGTGCTCGGGATTTTGCACAACTAAAAGCAGCCTCGCACCACACCCTGCCCCAAATGCAGTGAAATCAAGCAGGGCAGAAGAGAGGTTTAATCATTTTGCACCAGGCTGGTCTCCAGCTGAAAATCATGCTAGCCAGTTATTTGCTCCGAAAGATGCTAATACAGTGGTACCTCGGGTTAAGTACTTAATTCGTTCCGGAGGTCCGTACTTAACCTGAAACTGTTCTTAACCTGAAGCACCGCTTTAGCTAATGGGGCCTCCTGCTGCTGCCGCGCCGCCGGATCACAATTTCTGTTCTCATCCTGAAGCAAAGTTCTTAACCTGAAGCACTATTTCTGGGTTAGCGGAGTCTGTAACCTGAAGCGTATGTAACCCGAGGTACCACTGTAACAGCAAACTGTGTGTGTGTGTGTGTGTGTAGCCAGGATTTTTGCTGGGGGGGGCAGACCTTTGGGGGGGCAGAATCTCAGTTAGCTATGCATTTTTATTGATTTTTATTTATTGGGGCTGCCCCCCAGCTACACCCCTGTGTGTGTGTTAATTTTCAGCAGGAAAAGTTGTGTGTTTGGATTATGACCAATGTGACGGTTTTGGGAAAAGGGGTTTTAAAATGCATTTAAAGTAACATGTAGTATGAGTATCTGGCTCCTCCACACCCTCTACTGTCCTGAGTCCCCTTACTGCATGTGAAACATAATATTTGTACTACTAAACTTGGCTGTGCATTTATTTACTCTCTCACTCTCGCTCTCTCTCTCTCTCTCTCTCTCCTGTCATGCATGATTCATTCCCAGACTGAAATGAAGAAGGAAGATAGATCTCAGGGTGTGGGAGAGGCTGGGTATAAATAAATTCAATTAGCCTTGTTCAAATGTTATGTAGGGTTAAGGCATATGAGTAAGGGAACTTTGGAGCCGAAGGTTCACTCTAGCTGCTATTGTGTTGGAAAGAAGTATTCAGTGAGCTTTCAGTCTGGCGAATTTGTTGGAATAAATGCAAATTTTTTTAAATACTTAAAAAATAAACTCATGAGAAGGGAACCAGATTGAAGTTTTTCAGAAGTGATATTTAAAACTATGTTATCATCCAGCCTTGTAAATGAGTCTACAAAAACTACTACCCTGGGAGCAGGGGAGTGGCTGGCAGAGGAGGGATAGAGAATTCTGTCCCATCTGCAGTAAACCACGGCATTTCTATAGCAGACACAAGGTAAAGGTAAAGGGACCCCTGACCATTAGGTCCAGTCGCGGATGACTGTGGGGTTGCGGCACTCATCTCGCTTTATTGGCTGAAGGAGCCGGCGTACAGCTTCCGGGTCATGTGGCCAGCATGACAAAGCCACTTCTGGAGAACCAGAGCAGCACACAGAAACGCCATTTACCTTCCCGCCGGAGCGGTACCTATTTATCTACTTGCACTTTGACGTGCTCCTGAACTGCTAGGTGGCCAGGAGCAGGGACCAAGCAACAGGAGCTGACCACGTCGCGGGGATTCGAACCGCCGACCTTCTGATCGGCAAGTCCTATGCTCTGTGGCTTAACCTACAGCGCCACCCACATCCCTACCTTCACCAGTAGGGTTGGACAAACCTGCCAAAATGTTCAGTTTTTCCGACTGTAAGTTCAGTTTTCTACACCAGTTGGCAATTTATTTATTTTGTTAAAGGCCAGTGGTAGTTGTGTTTACGATGGCAGGCTGTGACTTGTTGTGAGAAACATGCTTCCCTCTGCCATAGTTTGTCGCTCCTACATATTGTACTGGCTGTTGGCTTCGCTTACCCAGTCCCTGGGGTGTGTTGGTACACAAGCACATTCTCTGTACCTTGTCTTCTCTGTACCACAGGTTGTCTGAGTTTGAGCCAGTGGCCCCGTCAAATCTCTTGACTGCTAATGAACCCCAGCTGTGCCATCTCTTACATGTAGTGGCAAACCATTCCTCAGCATAGGATGGTTCCTCCGTCAATCGTACTGATTCCTCCCCTTGTAGCCCTTTGTAGAATGGAATGGTTATTCTCTAGCCAATCAGAAGGCGGCTCCCACCTTGTTTGTTAGGACTCGTCTCCAAGGATGCCAAGTAACCTTCCTTAGGTGGCGTCTCTGACAGGTCCAGTGAGTCCAGCAAAACATCTATGTCTTGGCCATGGTAGGAAAAACAAAAATGGCAGCCGAGAGGTTATTAACAAGTTATTAATTACATGAGCAGCTGTGTAAGTTACTATTCTTACAGTTGGGAAAGCTTGAAACAGACTAGTTGTATAGACCTCCTAAGGCAAGGTAGCTGTAGGTTGATGCACAATATCAACTTAGGGCAAATTATTATGCGTTGACTGACACGTTGGTTGACCACCATGTACAATAATAAAAATGAGAATTTGTAACCAAATTGATTATTCAGAATATCAGCCTGCCAAGCAGCCTTTAGAAACCCTGAATATAGAACTTCTGGCCTTTCAGATGCCATTGGAATACATAATCTCTGGCCACTGGTCATGCTTGCTGAGGCTGTTGGGAGTTGGAGTCCAATGGCAGCTGAAGAACCACAGGTTACATATCACTGTTTTACAGAGACACACTAAACATAATTAACCTACTAGGCACATCCAAATGTACAGATGTACAGAAGTGTTTCTCAGCAGAACTGCCTCAAAACTTGAATGGATTTTCTTCGGATGGGTATGTGCTCTGAAATTGTTGTTGTTTAGTCGTTTAGTTGTGTCCGACTCTTCGTGACCCCATGGACCAGAGCACGCCAGGCACTCCTGTCTTCCACTGCCTCCCGCAGTTTGGTCAAACTCATGCTGGTAGCTTCAAGAACACTGTCCAACCATCTCGTCCTCTGTCATCCCCTTCTCCTTGTGCCCTCCATCTTTCCCAGCATCAGGGTCTTTTATGTGCTCTGAAATAGATGGATATATAAAAGCTAACCTGCACTTAGCATCTGTGATGAGCTGCTAATTCGAGCAACAGGGAATCTAGAGTCATCTCCAAGCATATGCAAACATTACAATCTTTTCACTGCAAAACCTGCATTGCAAACACAAGCCGTGGAAGGACCAGCCATGACAATCAGCCCATTTCATTTTCAAAGTACATCCTTTGGTCCATTAATTAATCCTGAACTCTGGGAGCTAAGGATATACAGGTGAAACTCGGAAAATTAGAATATCGTGGAAAAGTTCATTTATTTCAGTAATTCAACTTAAAAGGTGAAACTAATATATGAGATAGACTCATGACATGCAAAGCGAGATATGTCAAGCCTTTATTTGTTATAATTGTGATGATCATGGCGTACAGCTGATGAAAACCCCAAATTCACAATCTCAGAAAATTAGAATATTAAATGAAATCAGCAAAACAAGGACTGCAAATAGAGCAATATTGGACCTCTGAGAAGTAGAAGCATGCATATGTACTCAGTACTTGGTTTGGGCCCCTTTTGCATCAATTACTGCCTCAATGTGGCGTGGCATGGATGCTATCAGCCTGTGGCACTGCTGAGGTGTTATGGAAGACCAGGATGCTTCAATAGCAGCCTTAAGCTCTTCTGTATTGCTCAGTCTCATGTCTCTCACCTTTCTCTTGGCAATGCCCCATAGATTCTCTATGGGGTTCAGGTCAGGTGAGTCTGCTGGCCAATCAAGCACAGTAATCCCATGAGCATTGAACCAGGTTTTGGTACTTTTGGTAGTGTGGGCAGGTGCCAAAGTCCTGCTGGAAAATGAAGTCAGCATCCCCATAAAGATCGTCTGTGGAAGGAAGCATGAAGTGCTTCAAAATCTCCTGGTAGACGGCTACGTTGACCCTGGACTCAATGAAGCACAGTGGACCAACACCAGCTGATGACATGGCTCCCCAAATCTTTTCTGATGAGAGCAGCTTTTGCATCTCATTTGGAAACCAAGGACCCAGAGTCTGGAGGAAGAATGGGGAGGCACACAATGCCAGATGCTTGAAGTCCAGTGTGAAGTTTCCACAATCTGTGTTGATTTGGGGAGCCATGTCGTCAGCTGACACTACAGTAAAATGGAACTCGCATGCCTACAATGAGATGTGCAACTGCTGCAGGGATTTCTTTTTAAAAAAGAAGGTAACAAGTTTGCCGCTGCAGTTCAAAGCATTGGACAATATATTTGTCAATGTAACATTCATGCTGCACGCACTGGGGTTACTTCTAAAGGATAGACTGGTTGTTCACAGTGGGAGCATGAAATTGGGGAACATATCTTGCCAGTTCAGGGTGGAGGAATGAAAACACCAGTGGCACAAGGGATCAGCACATTTGGCTGTTAACTAGAAGATTGGTGATTCAAGTCCACCCAGGGGAGGATTTTACATTCTCTCTCACACACAAAGAGGGATGGAAAACCAATTATTTTAAACCAATCTAAAGTTTCACCCCAATTTTTCTGTGTAAGTGCTGCAGGGATGTGGATGCAGCTGCGTCAAAGAGTGTCCACACATCAGATAGTTGATGCTAAGGTTTTTTTAAAAAAATAATAATAATTTGGTGCTAGGTTGAAAGTTGTGGACATATGTCCTATAAGGAAGAAAATTTGGAGCGGTACTGAGTACAGAATGTTTGAAGAAAGCTAATCTTCTGCGTCTCTGCATTCTCATTTTTAAGAACAAAGTATACTCACGTTTCTCACACAGTTTTACAACAGGATTATAAATCCAGGTCCATGTCTGAACCTAAGCTGCTTCGGAGACCTTTGTCCCCAAAGGGGAAGACTGAACGGGCTGGACCAAGCAGAAAAGGCCGTAAAGGTAATGTGGCGCAATGGGTAACCTAGGATTGGGCATACCATTGATTAACCATGGTCTATTCAATGGTTTATGGGACGCGGGTGGTGCTGTGGGTTAAACCACAGAGCCTACGACTTGCCGATCAGAAGGTTGGCAGTTTGAATCCCCACGATGGGGTGAGCTCCCATTGCTCGGTCCCTGCTCCTGCCAACCTAGCAGTTCGAAAGCACAACAAAGTGCAAGTAGATAAATAGGTACCGCTGTGGCGGGAAGGTAAATGGCGTTTCCATGTGCTGCTCTGGTTCACCAGAAGCAGCTTAGTCATGCTGGCCACATGACCCAGAAGCTGTACGCCGGCTCCCTCGGCCAGTAAAGCGAGATGAGCACTGCAACCCCAGAGTCGGCCACGACTGGACCTAATGGTCAGGGGTCCCTTTACCTTTTATTCAATGGTTTACAACTTGAAACTTGGGCAGCGCTCTTCTCGGCATGTATGCAAAGAATTAGTCCACTGTGATCAGTGGGGCTCATTCCTTAGCATGGAGGGAGGAGTGTCTGAGAAGAGAGTTCTCCCACCACTATAGTGCCTTCTCTCCAAAAACACTCAAGGAACGCACAAAGCACATACTGCTCAACTGTCCCGATTTAAGTGGGACAGCCCGGAATTACAGAAGCCATCCCTGGAATGGCTGGAATGTCCCATTTTTGGGTTCAGCACTCTGGTGCAAGTTAGCCAGAGCAATGAACCCAAAAGTGCTCATTTTCTGGTCTGGCGCCACAGCACTGGTCAAAAAAAATAAATAAAATTTGTTTTCTGGTCTCATGCTCTGGTCCAAGCCTGCCAGCTCCTGTGACAGCTTGGGAGTGAAAAAATTAAGTGTCCCAATTTGGATCAGCCGGATGTTGGAGGATATAAAAGCAGGACTGAAGAGAGCGGCTTGAGCCCCGACAGAGGCCTAGACGGTTGCATTTGGTCCCTGAGCCTGATATCTATGCTTTAACCCAGCACTCTTAACGAACTGCCATTTCCCAGAGGGTGCCATTTTCTGGTTTGCCTCAGGCAGCAAAATGTCTTGGGCCAGCCCTGCTTTTCACTTCTTCAAAAGGCATTGCAAATTACTGTCTTTTTTTTAACAAGGAAGCAAAATTCCCTCTCCACACCCAAGGCTGAGTTAATTCTATTTAGGAAACATTAGTTTGCACTTTAAATAGCCTGACTTTTCTTTGTGTGTACAACTGTCCTATTTCATTACAGGTGCTCATGAGGAAGATACAAAATTCAAAGGAAAACATGGCACTGGTTTTGACCAACTTCATTTACCTGAGAAGAGCCAAGCAATTTGTTTGAGTTTCCCAGACTTTGGTTCTGAAATCCAAGTTCCAGCTAATATTGAGAGAACCTTTATTATCCATTCACACCCTAGTGGTCCTCCTAGCTTCCCATTGCAAAAACGTCGTGTACCCTTAAGGATGCAAATGCCATTTCTAGGAGATTACCGGCTGCTTTTACGAAGAGATTTTATATTGAAAGGTCTGGCTGTAGTCGCCACTCTTCATGTCAAATGCTTGGACGTTGAAACTACAAGGCCAATTATTTCTCGACTTAACTATGAAGCACTCACGAGTGAGCTGATTGCTAGGGAAAGGAGAGGCCCAAGAGAACTCCATTCTATACTGCTCTCAAATGAAGATCTGCCTTTTCCTGAACCACCAAGAAAATCTGAGAGACAAATGGAATTAGGTACAGTACTGTATGCTGCAGTTTTATGAATTTTGGCTTGTTTTACACACTCTGTTTCTGCATATTCTTCCTCTGCTGTTTTCAGTTAATGCCATCCCCAAAGGTCTGTTTCTGTTCTCCATTGCATAGCTGAAAATTTGAGTGGCAACACTGAATTTTACTCTAAGAGAATGTCAGAATTGATTTTTTTTTTTAAGTGAAAAGGAAAACTCTGCACATTTTCACATGTACACTGGATTTGATCAGGACTTTCAGGGTCTTCAAATCTCCCACTTAGTCTTCCTATATATATATTTTCCTGTTTAAATCTTCCCCCCACACAATTCAGACTGTATTTTAGCACAAAACTCTGCTGTTTTTCAGCATGGTAATGAACAATACAAGCTTGTTGTAGTAATGAAAACTCTAATCAATTAGGTGTGTAAGAGATCTCCTACTTGGATATTTCTTACAGTGCAGCCCTAAGGAGTCTGGAAAGTAAATCCCTAAGGAGTCTGGAAAGTAAATTAGGTTCAAAATGGGACTTTCTGGAATGGTAAAAGCGAACATTTTAAAGTAATCATAGGTTGTATGAGGTCTGTTTAATTGTAAATCAACATTTTTAGTGACTATAGCATGCACTTTCGTAACGTGGTGTAACATGCCAGGGGAAAACTTGATTTTTGGATCAGTGATGTAAATCAGTTGTGAAAAGGAAGCAGAGATAGTTTCACACCTCTGTAAATCCATGGAAGAACCTCCACTGGCAATAAACCAGGCCAGGTCAGAGGTCATGCCTCTCCTCAAAGTGTGCAGAGATAAAGCATAAATGCTGAGCCGAAGGCATGCCAGGACTTTTAGCGGCACAGTGGGACTTCCCCACCTTCTCCTATCCCCATGGGACCCATAAATCTGCTTGATGGGGAATCAGAAAGAGGAAAACTGAGAGCAGCCAGAGAGCAAAGAGGAGAAGATGAATTGTCAGAACACGTTCCGTCTTGCTTGGAAAATGAGCTGTTGAAGGGGGTAGAGATAAGAGGGTGCTGCACTTTTAAGGCAGCATCAAACACTTAGAGCAAAGAGGAAAGGAACGAAAAAATTAGAGATATTGGAGACCTAGTAGCAAGTCTGTATCAAGAGTTTGGTGGAACAGAAGGATGTAAGGAAAGGAGGGGTGGGAATCAGGATGAAGGGTGGGGGGGTTATTGTTTTGCTGGTTTGATTTACTTATTTACTTCTTTTCTTCCTGTATTTTATTCTGTGAACCGCCCTGAGCTCTTGTGATGATAGGCAGTACATAAATCTAATTAATAATAATACCAATAATAATAGATAAGCTCTGATGAGAAGGGTGTCTGAGCTCTGGTAGCAACAGTTCCACTGAAGTAAAAGTGCTCTGAGGATTCTCTGTGAACAGTCAATATAATATTAGGCTGGATCTACACAGATATAAAAAATGCTTTGAAAATGCTTTAAAAAAACCTGCACGCTCACCAGTGCCATCTAGTGTCACATTTGTATAATGCACTTAAAATGTTATAGCTGAGTCCTCAATCTTCTTTCCTGATGATTTAAATTAATCTGCACTGTAGCAGAATATAGAAGGGTACATACATTCAGTTTGGTACACAAAGAGCAGGATTTCAGACCTTCCAAGTGTCCCTATTTTCCAGGGACAGTCCCGGATTTACAGAAGATGTCCCAGTTTCTGATTTGATCCCAGAATGTCCTGCTTTTCCATAAGATGTCTATTATAGGAATTCTAAGGTCTTAAATGTACATAAATGTACAAAATAAATGTACATAAATGTACGGGACGCGGGTGGTGCTGTGGGTTAAACCACAGAGCCTAGGACTTGCCGATCAGAGGGTCAGCGGTTCGAATCCCCGCCACGGGGTGAGCTCCCATTGCTAGGTCCCTGCTCCTGCCAACCTAGCAGTTCGAAAGCACGTCAAAGTGCAAGTAGATAAATAGGTACCGCTCTGGCGGGAAGCTAAACGGCGTTTCCGTGCGCTGCTCTGGTTCACCAGAAGCGGCTTAGTCATGCTGGCCACATGACCCGGAAGCTGTATGCTGGCTCCCTTGGCCAATAAAGCAAGATGAGCGCCGCAACCCCAGAGTCGGTCATGACTGGACCTAATGGTCAGGGGTCCCTTTACCTTTACCTTTACATAAATGTACAAGGCAAACACATACATAAGTATATAAACCACATGTCTGAAATAGTATAGGAGAACAATCCTGAAGCCATATTGACTCTCCCAAATTGACTTCAAATATTTCTCTGCAAGGAGGAAGGAAATGGGAATAGCTTTCAAATTGTCTTTGTACTGTAGGGGCTTACACCTCCCTGTAAATACAGTCTGTTAAGCTAAGCACACTATCAATATGCGTAAGAGATACAGGAACTAAGTATTTACCATCTCTAAGGAATGGCCAGGCTACCCAGAAAAGGCAAGACAGGAGAGTAGCAACACATTCAAATTTCTGTTGGGGACCACCTCTTTCTGTGATGTATGTATGATGTTTTGGGGGGATAGTCTTGAGCTACAGGGTAGGCAATTTCAAAAGTCTATATAAGAGTTTGCACACCAGTGTTCTGGGTTCCTCTCCTCCCTCCCTGCGTAGGGTGAGCAGGGGACCCTGTTGCAATAGTTTAATAAAGATTATGCTTACTAGCTGCTTTGCTTCCCAATATTCTCTGGCTGGTCTCTATTATTGTCTCCTACCAATAGAAAACCTACATAAGGACACAATACGGGCTCTTGGATACCCCATAAGGGATAAAGGAGCAGTTTTTTCTTATAACAATGTCCCTATTTTCATCGGAGAAATGTTGAAGGGTATGGAGATATGTGACCCCCAAGACAGGGAGATTTTTAGGGTTTTTAATGTCTGATGTTTTATTATGTTTTTAATATTATTTTGGAAGCTGCCCAGAGTGGCTGAGGAAACCCAGCCAGATGGGCGGGGTATAAATAATAAATTATTATTATTATTATTATTATTATTATTATTATTATTATTATTATTTATACAACCTTTAGAAGACATCTGAAGGCAGCCCTGTATAGGGATGTTTTTTAATGTTTAATGGGTAGAATAATAATAATAATAATAATAATAATAATAATAATAATAATAATAATGGAATAGGATGTCCCTAGGGGATGCGGGTGGCACTGTGGGTTAAACCACAGAGCCTAGGACTTGCTGATCAGAAGGTTGGCAGTTCGAATCCCCATGACGGGGTGAGCTCCCGTTGCTCGGTCCCTGCTCCTGCCAACCTAGCAGTTCGAAAACACGTCAAAGTGCAAGTAGATAAATAGGTACCGGTCCAGCGGGAAGGTAAACGGCGTTTCCGTGCGCTGCTCTGGTTCGCCTGAAGCGGCTTAGTCATGCTGGCCACATGACCCGGAAGCTGTACACCAGCTCCCTCGGCCTGTAAAGCGAGATGAGTGCCGCAACCCCAGAGTCGGCCACGACTGGACCTAGTGGTCAGGGGTTCCTTTACCTAGGAAGTCCCTATTTTCATTGGAGGAATGTTGGAGGATATGGGATTCAGCTTAGGAACTCCCATAAGCAGAAACCTTGGACAAGGGGTTCCACTTGCGCCATAATGGAGTTTGCCCCCACCCAAGCTTCCTAAAGATAGACCCCAGAACAGCATATGGTAGGGGGGATAATTCCATGTGGGAACCAGACAGAACATTTGTAATAGTGCAACACTGAAGTCCTCCCCCCAAGTGTTTTAAAGAGCCTAAACAACAACCAACACACACATCCCAAGAGACATTGTTGTTTTGCAAGGGAAGGTCTGAAGATATTTATCTCCATATAAACGGAATCCACTCTAACTAGACTCACAATGTTTTTCAGAAAGGTTACTGGAGGAGAGACTGGCGGAGAGACTGGGAGAAAGACTGGGGGAAATACTGGAAGAAAGACTGTCTCTCCCTGCAGAGGAAAAAGAATTGATTATTGAGGAGGTAAAACAGAAAAAAAAGAAAAGAGTGACTTATGCAGGTAGAAACCATTTTTATATACTCGTGTGTATGTGTGTGTGTCCTTTAAAAAGAACCGTTACTGTTATTCATCTAAAAGCCTTGATGCAGCACACACACAAATATAAAATAAGGTAATAAACAAGCTTTACTGGAAACAGTTGATGATAGAAGTGATCAGTGCATAGCTGTCAACTTTCAGATTTGAAAATAAGGGATCAGCAGCCTCGAAAATAAGGGATCAGCAGCCTCACCTGTCCCGGGGACAGTCTATGGGATATCTAACAATCCGGGATAGCAGCGGGAAGCACCGGGAAACAGCGCTGAAATAAGGGAATTTCCCGCAAAAAAAGGGAAGGTTGACAGCTATGGATCAGTGAGCTGTCTTAATCAAATTTTAAACATCATGACAATTCACTAGTTCATAATCTACAAGCATTTTCCTAAAGGCTGCAGCTGCTGCTGCAAACAAGACAGAGTTATATGCCATCTAGCAAATAAGCTACTTTCAAATATATGCTGTGTGTCCTTGCATTCTTATGTAATGTGAGATGCAAATCTTTAATTTGGGGGTGAATATTCTGGGCAATCCAATTAGTAGGGAAGTAAACTTTCCACGTCAAAGTGCAAGTAGATAAATAGGTACCACTCTGGCGGGAAGGCAAACGGCATTTCCGTGCGTTGCTCTGGTTCGCCAGAAGCGGATTAGTCATGCTGGCCACATGACTCGGAAGCTGTACGCCGGCTCCCTCGGCCAATAAAGGGAGATGAGCGCCGCAACCCCAGAGTCGGCCACGACTGGACCTAATGGTCAGGGGTCCCTTTACCTCTACCTTAAACTTTCCATCACAAGCCCTCTGTAAAAACACAATACTTTTTTCTACTAAGCCCGGGCATCTCTGTCGTCCCCTTCTCCTTGTGCCCTCCATCTTTCCCAACATCAGGGTCTTTTCCAGGGGGTCTTCTCTTCTCACGAGGTGGCCAAAATATTGGAGTCTCAGCTTCAGGATCTGTCCTTCCAGTGAGATCTGCTATAAATCCTGCAGGGAGTTTCATATGAAGAGCAGGCTCCCTGCTTCAGATCCTTCACCCCAATAGACTGGCAGTAGTGTGAGGCAAGATAAACCTTGCTGACCCCTGAGCCAAAGGGTTATGGGAAGATCCTTCCCTGTCAATATGCTCAAAAAAGGTAAATGAATCTGATTCAGAATTCTGAGATTTAGCTTTTCCTTGGACCACACGTCTCAGTCTCAGTCAGTTTTATTGCACATAGCCAAAGGCTGCCGCAATGTACACAGAATTATTTGACAATTAAAAGAAAATATACTGAATTGGTAAAAAAAGACTTAAAACATTTATATTATTAAAACATTACGTACTCTAAACAAAGCTATAAAAGTACCCCAATGTACAAATAAAAACATTAAACAATAAAATTCATAAGCTAAAATCATCACATGGTCACTAATGTTAAAAACAATATCAATTAATACAGTGTGCAATTTATACTCAGAGTTTGGTGACAAAGATAGAGCATAGCCTGAGGTAGATAGATAGGATCAAATAAATTCATCTCCTTTACAGTTAATGGCTACCTTGGCTATATAATTTGCTCTAATTTTCCTAGCAGCAGTTGCAAAAAGTGCTACCCGCCAGGTCACATACTTATCTGTGTCTGCAAGGAGATATAACATCATATCAAGGGGGTTCTGGCCAGGGGACCCTGTCATTATAGGTACCAAAAATCTTTTTCTTGCATCATTATATAACGGACAATGCAAGACACGTCTGTGTCTGGTCAAGTGTTTTGACAAAGCGGTGTTTCAGATATTGCTGAACCATCAAATGCATCCCTATCGTGTTTTATGACTTCCTTGATATTGTATGTGAGCTGGAACTGGTCTGTGACCGAAATAATAAATGCATTCATTGCTGAACCATGTCTCACACATTAAAGTGTAAGGAGACTTTCAGTAACGGGCAATAACTAATCTGGCAGCCACTAGTAACATTAAGGCTATGTTTTTGCACATGACTGAGGGGTTGACATCGTTATCTAAAGAGAGAAGAGCCAAAGAGGAGCCAGAAACATGTTTTGACCAGTGATATTTGATATTAAACACCCAGGTTAACCATTTTGCATTCCCACCACATATGCAGGAACGAGATTTATTCCAGAACTAGAACCTGAGCTGGATTATGAACCTGAGCTGGATTATGATGACTCACTTATCTCCGGCATGGGAAGCGAGCCGAAATTAAATCTAGAAGAGGAAGAGACTGAATCGATGTCAGCAGCTTACATGGCAGTACTCTCTTGCCTAATGCATAGAAGAACTGGGCTTAGTCTTAAGGTAATTTCCCTAAAAGTGTGGCTGTGTTGCCTATGACAGTCTTTTCTCTGAGGCACTTACTGGGGCCTCCAATGGGATTTCCATTTTATCACCATAACAGTCCAAGAGACATTAAGCCAAAGGTCACCTTGGGAGCTCAATGGTACACTGAGGATTTGAGTCTAAGTCTTCCCAATCAACCACAAACCACCATAGTTCTCTTATAGAGCTACAGAGTGATTTGCTAGACTTCTTTACCCTGTTCTTTATAGAAAGACTGAGAGTAAAAGTGCTGTTCACACAGAACTCCCAAGTCTGTAGAGCGGGGGTGGGGACCTGGTGCCGTCCAGATGTTGCCGAACTCCAGATCCCATCAGTCCTGCCAAAAAGACCAGTGCTCAGGGAAGAAGGGAGTTGTAGTCCAACAACATCTGGAGGGCTAAACGGTCTCCATCTCTATCGTAGAGACTGTGTGAAGTAGTGCATGCAAGATTACGGGTGCCTGTCTTAACTCTGAAACCACTTCAGATCAACGTTTTACGTTCAGTAACAGGGCTGGCCCTATATGAGTAGTCAAATGTGCATGATCACATTGTCGGTTTGAACATGATTTCCACAGATCAGGAAGGTGTAATCCCTGGTAGGTAGTACATCCATAGGCTACATTCCAGCATATATTTTAAAGCATTGTTGCTGTTGTTTAGTCGTGTCCGACTCTTCATGACCCCATGGACCAGAGCACGCCAGGCACTCCTGTCTTCCACTGCCTCCCTCAGTTTGGTCAAACTCATGCTGGTAGCTTCGAGAACACTATCCAACCATCTCGTCCTCTGTCATCCCCTTCTCCTTGTGCCCTCCATCTTTCCCAGCATCAGGGTCTTTTCCAGGGAGTCTTCTCTTCTCAGGAGGTGGCCAATGTATTGGAGCCTCAGCTTCATGATCTGTCCTTCCAGTGAGCACTCAGGGCTGATTTCCTTAAGAATGGATAGGTTGGATCTTTGTGCAGTCCATGGGACTCTCAAGAGTCTCCTCCAGCACCATAATTCAAAAGCATCAATTCTTCAGCGATCAGCCTTCTTGATGGTCCAGCTCTCACTTCCATACATCACTACTGGGAAAACCATAGCTTTTAAAGCATAGGTGTATATTATTTTGAATCAAATATGCTGCAGATACCTCCAAAACTGTTCCATCCAATGTATGGAGCGGTTTCCAGGGATGGAAATAGACATGTATTAGCCTGTTCCCTGTTGCTGCTGTAAGAAAGCAGTTCTTTCTTACAGCAGATTATTTATAGAAACTATAAATCTCATGTGGGTCATCCCCCCTGCCCTTTCTGTGTTTTCTCCGTAGGCATTTTTTCTGTTTCAACTTCCAGACCTCTCACCTTTGGCCGGCTTTTTGCTGTACCTCAACCTGTCATTTAACTACTTGTACTTCTTTCCTACAGAGGTAAGTGTGACTGTGGGACATAACAAACAAACAAAATCCTGCCTTGTTTTTATGCAAGTAGCAGGGAAGACATGGCTCCACGCATTATGTGGTGGTTTGACGGGAGATGGCAGCTATCTGAGAGTGTTCTAATCCCATCTTGGCTCATTTTCTGGCAGCAGCAGCAACAGGAGAGAAGCTATGATCCTGCAATTTTATCAACATGCCCCAGCATACTGAACGTTCACAAAGAACCAGAGTTTATTTGTGACATGCAACTCAAGGTTACTTATCTTTCCTCCTAAGCTGTCCATTCCCCAGTCACTCTCCAACTCTCTCAACACCTTTGCCCTCCACTTAGAAGATCAAGACCCAGTCTTGGCTTTGTCCCCAGTTTTCTTCACTTTATTACATTTGCCCATTCAATTTTCTTTTTGATCCCACAGGTATTTTATCTTAAACACTTGGAAGTGCTAAAGCTCCGAAACAACCCCATCAAATTCATCCCAGAAGATATCTGCCGAATGAAGAATCTTAAATTATTGGTTATGTCCTTCAATTTGCTGACTACTCTTCCAGCTGGGTACGGTAGTAGTGCTTTTAATATCACAAAAAGCACAAAAAGCACCTGAAAAATACAGCGGTGTGATTCATAAACACCAGCACACTTAGGGCACTCTGTGACATCACAGAGACTGCTCCAGTAATTTTTAAAACTCTATGGTCCTTAACCCCTTCACATACTAACTCGCATTTGACTGCAAATCTCCCACACTAAAGTCCTATTCTTCACATGTAACCACTTGCATCAGTCTATTTGCACCTGAAGTAGACTAGCGTCCACAAAAGCTTTCACCATAACAAAATTATTTGAGATCCCACCAGTCTCTTTGCTTGTATTTACCTCTCCGCCACTTTAAAAAAAAATAGCCCTGCCCATTCCTAGGAACTATAATCTTTATCACATTTTTTGTGCAAAACAATCCGTCTTTTCAATAGTAACAAATTGGAGGACAAAGAAAGTAGTCTCTTGGTTTAGTGAGGCTTTCTGTGGCAATTTTAGGCCTCCTGAATTACTCAGCACACATTAGCAGCTGAATAGGTGAGTGATGTGCTGAGTTTCATATGCCTTTGATATGGTGTGTATTTGCTTTCTTTCTATAGGCTATTTTCATTGCCCAATCTGCAGGGCCTCGATGTTTCCTACAATGAACTTGAATCCATCCCTAATGAAATTGGAAAACTCAGGTATTTATTTCAGTCTCCAACTGATTTCTACTGTTTTAGTGTCAACTGTCTGGGTTTCCTGATCAGATTTTCAAAGCACAAACTCTTGTACCAGCTCTGATTGCAGTGGGACACATTCCATTCTGGGCAAAGCTCTGGGGGCCACATTCCTGTGGTGAGCAGAGCCAGAATCAAAAGTGGGTAAAACAACAAATGTGACTTTTACCTTCATACAGTAGGCTAGTTTTACCCTCACTCACACACCCATTGTCAGGGACTGGTTGGACTCAGAGGACTCAGCTGAGGGTGCCAAATGCTTGGTAAAGTTGCTGAGTCATATGTAAGTGACCAGTGGGGTGTCTTTTGGTCTGTGATCCTTTAGAAACCTAACATATCTGAACGTAGAAGGGAATCTACTGTACGTCTTGCCTTGCGGGCTGCTGAAGCTCAAGCTGAGCTGCCTTAAGGTGGAAAACAACTTCTTGCACACCTACTTCTGGGATGAAATCTGCCGCCTTGAGCCACAACGACTCACTGACATGGCCGCCTTTTGTTTTGCCAAACACAACCTTTGGAGAGTGTATCGCAAGATCCCAAGGGACATTCACGAGATATTGCTCAAGTAAGTAAGGCGGGGACCTCCATCACAACCACAGGCTTTAAGGGAAACTTTCGATGCAATAGCAGTCAGTCCCCAACCCCTGCAATAACTATGTGACCAAAACAGTTTCCTTAGGGGTTCTCACAGTCATGTGCTGGAATAGCACCCACTGGTCCAAAAAGGTTGGCATCCCCTGTATAAAGATAAGTGGGGGTAAGGTACATGCAATGTCTTGAACAGGTGCGCCAACTCCATGGGGATGAGGCCTCTACAGCCCCCCACAATGTCTGCCGGGATGGGGCTCAGTCCCCCAAATCTTGAGGGGGCAGAGGAGACCTGGCAGAGACCCTGGGCAGTGCAGTCAGAAGACTCTACATGGACCAGTGGGGCTTAGTGGGCAACCCTGATCGGCCTCTCCCAAAGCCACAGTCATCATGCATGCCACGTGCAACATGTGTGACATCACGTGCATGCACATCACACGTGTGGCGTCTGCCCCCTCAATGCCGGGCGCGACTCAGTGTTTCTGAATGTTCAAGACCACAGGCACCATCTAAATGCTACTTATTAATAAAAGTAGAATATTTCTAACGGGTTTCAAGCGCAAGCTCTGCTCTATAGGTAGACAACACGGTGCCCGCCAGATGTTTTGGACTACAACTCCCATCATCCTTGGTAATTTGCCATGCTGGCTAGAGGTACTAGGGTTGTAAGCCCCACATTGGCCAGCCCTGCTTATACCATTTTTTCTCAGTACGTTATATGTAAAGAACACCTAACATTTCTCTCTCTCTCTCTCTCTCTCTCCACATTTTAGCTTTAAAGCCTGCGATTGCTGCACGGGACCCTTGTATGGAAAAGGCCTTCAGTTCCCTCGCATTTTTAGGAATGTCTATGGGCTTAGGCTTCCTTATCTTTTTAGTGCCTGCTCGCCAACCTGCTATTCAAATTATGTTGCTGAAGCTGTTGCAGCTGCTGAAGCTGCTGCAGCTGCTGAAGCTACAGATGCTGCAGCTTCAGCGTAATAGATGTCAATATATTTTAACTGACTGAAGCTGAACTGGCAGTCTGTCGAATAAAGTGCCAAGCACTGCACTGTACACAGGTCTGTGTCCTGGCCTGATGATTCCTTTTTTTATTTAATTGTGTATACACTTTTCCATTTCCATTTTATACTTCATTCAGTGTTTTTGTCTCACATTTTCCCATGTAGACTTCCCAACTTATCCCTTACCGGCATTCAAGATTTGGCTGCAACTCATTTAGTTCCTCCCTACTATACTCCTATCATTATTTTTTCTTCTTTTTCTTTTCTTTTGTTAACTGTTGTTCAAAAATTCATCCCTACTTGCAAAGCAGTTTTAATGTCACATCTTTTAAAATATGCACTAAGATATTCCCACTCACCCTTTATTTTCCTCTCATCCAAATTTCTTATTTTAGCTGTCATAGTGGCAAGCTCTGAAAATTCTATCAACTTGTACAGCCATTGATCTTTTGTTGGGATGACCTCTTCTTTCCAATTTTTTTTGCGTAATCTATTCCTGCAGTTGCTGTTGCATATAAAAACAGATTGTGAGCTTCCTTTGGTAACTCCTCACCTATAATAGCCAATAAAAATGCTTCGGGGTTTTGGGGAAATGTAAATTTAAACATTTTCTTAAGTTCTTCATAAATCATCTCCCAGTAATTTTTTGCCTGTTTGTGATGCCACCACATGTGTATCGAAGATCCTTCCATTTCTGAACTGGGCTCATGATTCCAATGTAGCTGCTTTGAATGCAAAAATTAGTTACAGAATAGCCCGTACTTTATCTTTCTGCACTAATGTTTCCAGTAAAAACTACTACACCATATTTTGCTTCATAATCCTGATGAATATTTACACTGGCTACAGAGTGCTTTGCAGTTCGCATTGACCACATAAAAACTGCAAATGCAACTGAACCGCACAGAGCAACAGTGTATGATTTTAACCTTAGGAGAATCCATACTTCCATCATTAATGAGGGACACCCTATCTACGTTTTTAACATCCTGATTCAAAGTACAACGGGATAGTGAAAAAGAGCTAAGAAGCTTACATTCTGTGTCTGACATCAGCCCAGTTTAGTGGAAGGACATGTGTAAAACGGCAGTTGTTAAATAAAAATGAATAAAGTTGAACGGTGGACAGTAAAACTGAGTGACATGTATTCAGATTCTTGTTCAATGGCATTGTCTTGCAGCTACTTTTAAGCAGACGAAACTATGGGCAGCCAGCAGCTCTCTCACATGGATTTACATAGAATCATGGATTTGTAGAGTTGGAAGGGACCCCAAGGGTCAGTTGCTCCAACGCCCTGCAATGCACAAATCTTAACACGCGGTCCCCCATCCAGTCGGAAACCATGCCGCACCCTGCTTAGCTTTGCAAATGTGCTAGCAGTTTTATTGCTGTAGTAAATGTACGTTAAACCACAGCCACCCTCACAAGGCTTCCCCAGCACTCTTACTGTGTTGTTTGTGTGCTGTCAGTGGGTATACTGAAGGTTACTTATTGTAGGATGACTATGATAAGACATCACGTATACGCAGCCCAGGATGAAGACATTACTGCTGTGGGGGCAACCACATATTTGAAACGGCAGTGGGGAGAAAGGGAGGGTAGAATTGGGGGGGGGAGAGGTAAATGCACCCCTGTTCCTCACTACTGTATTCACTCAGCCTCTCACATACTTTTCAAGCTAAAAAACGGGGGGGGGGGGGGTATGATTTTGTGTGTTCTACCAGGCAGCCTAAATTCTAGTTTTGAATGCAGGATCCAAAATAACACTTTCAAAATATCCTTTCCCCCGTTACAAGCAGGCTTGCGTTGACACACACAACCATGAGCAAGCCCCACACAAACAGGAAGATGTTTGCCAGCCCTATAGTTTGGATAAAGCAGTGTATCTATAATATAACTAGAAATGCTTTCAGCTTAGAATGGTAGCTTTACAGTGATAGTCTCAAACGTGATTAAATTAATTCACATCAGACAAGGCATATTCCAAGTGTTTATTCTGAGGCATAAAATCAGGACTTCATTTCAATACACTGATTATTCACATACTTTTTCATTGTTAATTTCCACTGATTATCTTCCAATTGTTTTGTACTGTCAGGAGATACTCAAGCATTGAGGTATTTTGCGTGGTGCCTGATATGGTCATTAATGAATGTTGCTATAAAGTAGTAACTGTGATCATAGCCCTGGGAAGGGGAAAAAGAAATCAAATGGTCAAATCTGTAGCCAACATGTCTTCAAAACCACTGTTTTTTACAGCGCTATTCAGAGGCAGCAGTACTCAAGAACAAAGTAGCTGGAAAATTTGGCTTGGGTTCAGCGTACAGATTCAGTGTAATAAATTATCTAACCATCATCTATCTCTGTTGACAGAGGAAGGTATCGTCTACCTTTAAAGGAAACTTGCCAGAACAACTTAAGAATGTGCCCTTGTAGACCGACAGAGGGATATAAGTGTACATATTGCACAGTATTGCAATCCTTTGGTACGTTAAGGTAAAGGGTAAAGGGACCCCTGACCATTAGGTCCAGTCGTGGCCAACTCTGGGGTTTACTGGCTGAGGGAGCCGGCGTACAGCTTCCGGGTCATGTGGCCAGCATGACTAAGCCGCTTCTGGCGAACCAGAGCAGCGCACAGAAACACCGTTTACCTTCCCGCCAGAGTGGTACCTATTTATCTACTTGCACTTTGACGTGCTTTCGAACTGCTAGGTTGGCAGGAGCAGGGACCGAGCAACGGGAGCTCACCCCATTGCGGGGATTCGAACTGCTGACCTTCTGATCGGCAAGTCCTAGGCTCTGTGGTTTAACCCACAGCGCCATGAAAAAGGGTTCATCTTGTTCAGTAATGGCTGGCTGTGGCTCTCCAGGGCTTCAGATAAGGGAAGGTTCCCAACCCCACCTGGAGAAGCCGGGGATTGAAACTGGTACCTTCTGCATGCAGAGCAGAACACAGGAACTCAGGAAGCTGCCTTATCCTGAGTTCCATCACTGACCCATTTACAATGGCTGGCAGCAGCTCTCCGGGGTTTCAGAAATGGGATCATGCCGGGTTCAAGGTTCTTGTATTAATTTACAAAGCCCTGAGCAACTTAGGTCCAGGGTACCTCAGGGATTGGCTGAAACCTTGTAGCTCAGCTCAGTCAGGAGCATTGTTATTCATTTCCCAAGCTGGTGAGGCTCGTTGGAGGACAATGAGAAACTGAGCCTTCAATGCCATCAATCTAGTCCTATGAACACCCAGAAGGGAGTGGGTGGCGCTGAGGCCTAAACAGCTGAGCCTCTTGGGCTTGCTTATCGGAAGGCCAGAGGTTCGAATCTGCTCGACAGGTTGAGCTCCTGTTGCTCTGTCCCAGCTCCTACCAACGTAGCAGCTCAAAAGCACACCAGTGCAAGTAGATAAATAGGTACTGCTGCGGCGGGAAGGTAAACGGTGTTTCCGTGTGCTCTGGTTTCTGTCACGGTGTCCCGTTGTGCCAGAAGCGGTTTAGTCATGTTGGCCACATGACCCGCAAAGCTGTCTGTGGACAAATGCCAGCTCCCTCAGCCTGAAAGCGAGATGAGCACCACAACCCCAATGTCGCCTTTGACTGGACTTAACTGTCCAGGGGTCCTTTACCTATTTTTACCTATGAACACCCACTCAAGAGAGATTCAGCAGGCACCTTCTTAGCCAACTAGTAAATGCCTGCTGAAAATGTTTCTACAGTGGTACCTCGCAAGACGAATGCCTCGCAAGACAAAAAACTCGCTAGACGAAAGGTTTTTCCGTTTTCGATTTGCCTCGCAAGACGAATTTCCCCTATGGGCTTGCTTCGCAAGACGAAAACGTCTCGCAACTTTGTTTTCTTTGTCTAAAAACAAAGACATGTTTTGTTTATAAAGTTAATTTATTTTCCCTTCAATTTTTGAACTGCTCTTTACAGTATGTGTGACTTTAAAGAGCAGTTAATAAACTGTTGTTGTACCAAATTTGGCTTTGTTTGGACTTTTTTTGACCATAGGAACGCATTAATTGATTTTCAATGCATTCCTATGGGATTTCGTGCTTCGCAAGACGAAAAATTCGCTAGACGACAAAAATTGCGGAACGAATTAATTTCGTCTTGCGGGGCACCACTGTATTACACAAGGCCTATGCAGGTTCCCTGCAGGTTCTGATGGGGGCTTTTTAAACTACTGTTCATGGATCCTCTTTCATGAGGAAAAGCTGTTTTTATTTTGTCAAGCCGCCAGGAATTAACAAGTAGCATTTGTTTGTTTGTTTACTGTTTGCTCTTTATTTGTCTGAAAGTGTTTTGGGTTGTTTTGCCGATTTATTTTTAATTCTTTAAAAGGATGAATGTACTGTTCTTTAAATTGGCGTAGTGGGGCTTTTTGGGATGTGTGTGAGTGAATGAGAGAGGGGATCAGGCAATATCTAAATAAACCTGAAAATGATATTAATGCTGCCTCAGGAGGCAAAAAGAAGCATCATCGACCTTTACTACTGAAAATTTAACACAAGACACAAAACATTTAGGACATTACCTGCTGCATTCTTAAGACCACTGGGATTTTGCGCTCTGTGCAGGCAGCAATGAAATTATCAGGCAGCAATTGCCCTGCTGTAAGGAACTGGTCGTCTTTGCCTTGATCAATCAGAATGTCCAAAGAGGGGCCTTTGTAGGATTTCACAATATGTGTAGCATCGTAAGCCTGCAACGGATATAGATACATTCACTTCTAAAAATGGCAGCATCCAGACAAGAGGTTATCCATATTGACCTTTCCTCCACACTTTCCAGGCGTAATCTGCACTTTAAAGCTCTGTGTCTGATTGCTCTCTGTAGGCTTCAGAGCTTTCCCTGCAAAAACTGCTCTTCAAAGAGAAAGCAATCCACAGAAAATTCAAATTGCCGTTCATTGCACTTCAGCTTAAAGAGTGGGTTTTCGTACGGAAACCGGGGGTGGGGTGGTGGTGCTTGGACACGCAGCTTTAAAGCACGAGCCTGTGCCTGAAAACAGCAGGGCAAAAGGTAAATGTGGATAAGCCCAAGATCTCACAATACTGGAAAAACAATGACCAACAGAAAGAGTGACTATTCCTATCCAATTTACAGTCAATTCCAAATTAAAATGCAATGCTGACCAGGCTCACATTCAGTATTCATAACAAAGTAAAATAAAAAATAATAAAATAATAAAATCCTTCCAGTAGCACCAACTTAGTTATACCAGCATGAGTCTGACCAAACTGCGGGAGGCAGTGGAAGACAGGAGTGCCTGGCGTGCTCTGGTCCAGGGGGTCACGAGGAGTCGGACACGACTAAACGACTAAACAACAACAACAAAAGTTAGTTACTGGTATGAGCTCATACCAATAACTAACTTAGTTGGTCTCTAAGGTACCAACAAGGCTACCTACCTGTATTCAGTATTCATATTACACATAGATTTATTTTGCAGTGGACATAACAAATAGAAAGTCAACAGCAGATAAAATGATTTATGCTGATGGATGGAGTTTCGGACATTCCTTGGTTGACTGGTAACAATGACATCACTGTGAGCCAGAAAGTGGACTTTTAAGTGTAACAGCAGCAGCCAAAGAGGCAGATTTGCTGTAGAGTGAATGTGTTCAGGAGCCCGTTTGCCCTTCCCTGTGAAAACTTAACTCTGCCACTATTTCCTAGCCTGTCTTGGAAAATGTTCTGGAGCAGAGATTGGGAGTAGCCAAGGAAAGTAACACAATTCTGGCTTGCTTGTTCTTTATGAGCTACCCCATTTTCTTATTTTTCAACTCCAACACGGGAGAATGCTGGAAACATTTCTGCCAGGAACCACCATTCCTCCTGCACTCCAGAAGGCTTTACAGTGTTATAACCACAAGAATGAAATGTACAGGAGTAAGCAATGCCAGCAAGGACGCCACTAGGGGGAGTTGGGGGGCTAAGCCCCCCCATATGTAAGGAGGGGGCCGGGCCCCCTCAAAATTCTATGGCGACGATGCACACATGCCACGCAATGTGCTCACCTCACTTGCGCACGCTGTACGACACGCTCGCATCATGCACGCAAGCCGCACCACATTAAATAAATCATGGCGTTTACCTAATTTTAAGACCTGCTAAGGAACAGACTATCATTAATATGTCCTGATATGTAAAACCACAGAATCCAAAGAGGGTGCACTTTCTTTTTCCCATGACTGTGTATTTTTATACACCTTTTCAAGACTGCACCAACCTGCCTTGCCTTTTCAAAAAAATCTATATTTATGAAGCAGTTTGATGGCGCTTCTGTGGTTATTCTACACCATGCTAATATTTCCAGTACGTACCTCCCATTTGGTTACATCCGACCCCAGGTATCCACTAAAAGCTTTCTTCCCCCACGGGCACTGAATTGGGTTGCAGATTGGTGCAAAGGCTGAAACAGACTAGTCAGAAATGGAAGATTCAAGGAAAACAAAGCGACTGTGTTAATATCTGAATCTAGATTTCCCCCAGCAACTCTGAATTTTTAAAAAACTGCATTTGTAAAGCTGTAGAAAACGGCATGGTTCTAGAAAACAGCTGCTTATTTTCATCTTTTGTCATATGTAGGAAAGGACAGTGCAAACCCATCTTGTCCTGGTGTGCGGACATGTATAGACATAACACAATTTTTACTTTATTTGTTTCTGTCCCCATTTATCAATATATCTTCATAGGATTGTGCCATACTTCAATTTGCACCGCGTATTAATTGTAAACATCCAGAATGCCAATCTACTATATACAGTGGTACCTCGGTTTTCGAGCACCTCAGAAGCTGAACGTTTCGGTTTTATAAACGCCGAAAACCCGGAAGTAATTGCTTCCGTTTTCGAACACTTTTCGGAAGTTGATCAGCTTTCGCTGAGTTTCCCCCCAATTTCCCCCATTTAAATTGCAGACTGCCCTTTGCGCCTCAGTTTTGAACGTTTCAGAAGTCGAACGGTCTTCCGGAACAGATTACGTTCGAAAACTGAGGTACCACTGTATTTTGGAAAGTTGTCTGATATGTATTTGGACATCTTTTAAAATAGCATAACTAAATTTTACATGATGGTTCCTGATATCAAGGAGCAGGTTCTTTTCTATATTTGGATACAATCAGACAGCATTTTGAATCAAGATGGTGCACTAAACCTTTCAAAACGGCACTGAATTTGACCACTGATTTAAAAACCGCACTGATAAAGGTGAGTGCATCTCTTACTTTTTCAGGGTAAATTTTCTTAACATTATCTCTCTTTGCATCATTATCTAATTCCTTTACTTTATTCAATATACATTAAAAAAATCAGAATCTTACTTTGTATTTTCCGGGATTCTTCAGAGCGAGGATTAGAGCACCATGACCCCCCATTGAATGGCCGGAAATAGAAATCCTCCCAGAGTCAACTGGGAAATTGGCATTTATCAGATTAGGTAACTGGAAGACGTCAATGAGAAGGAAATAGATGTGAGTATATTAACATTTTGCCCTACACAGGATAAAAATAAAATACAACTAGGGTCCATCTCTAGAGATCAATGACTCTTGCCTTTGTCCAACACTTTATCAAACAGCAGCACACATGCTGCCCAATAAGCTTTCTGTCGGATATATTGGCTACAAAGAAACAGGGAAACTATCAGTAAACTACTCAACTTGGGGAGATTTTACTATAACAGTTTCAGGGGTCCTTGCAAGTATATGAAGGCAGAGCAAGTTTAAAGATGCAGTGCTATTGCCTGCATACTTAAAGAGACACCAGGCCTTTCGCTTGCCTTTGGTGATATTAAGCAAAGTTAGCGAGGATGGTAAAAGTTCATAAGGAATTACAGGGTACCATATTACAGAATTTCTCAGAGCAGAACATTAGACCCTCAGAGCTTGAGTGCAGGTGAGAAAATGCGTGAGAGGAAATGCAGTACAAATTTAAGGTAAAGGTAAAGGTACCCCTGCCCGTACGGGCCAGTCTTGCCAGACTCTAGGGTTGTGCGCTCATCTCACTCTATAGGCCGGGAGCCAGCGCTGTCCGCAGACACTTCCGGGTCACGTGGCCAGCGTGACAAGCTGCATCTGGCGAGCCAGCGCAGCACACGGAACGCCGTTTACCTTCCCACTAGTAAGCGGTCCCTATTTATCTACTTGCACCCAGGGGTGCTTTCGAACAGCTAGGTTGGCAGGCGCTGGGACCGAACGACGGGAGCGCACCCTGCCGCGGGGATTCGAACCGCCGACCTGAAGATTGGCAAGTCCTAGGCGCTGAGGTTTTAACCACAGCGCCACCCGCGCCCCTTAGGACAAATTTACAGGTGCCTTATTTTCTCAGAAATAAAGTGCAGGTAACCAATGCCAGATCTTGCCAATACAGACACAGTTGGGTGTCAGATTTTTCTCTGTGTCCATCAGACTTACAGTAGAAGCACGGGGAGAAAAAGTTGGGGAACCCACACCTTGTATTATATCCCATTCTATATTTACATCAGAGGGACGCGGGCGGCGCTGTGGGTTAAACCACAGAGCCTAGGACTTGCCAATCAGAAGGTCGGCAGTTCAAATCCCCGTGATGGGGTGAGCTCCCATTGTTCGGTCCCAGCTCCTGCCCACCTAGCAGTTTGAAAGCATGTCAAAGTGCAAGTAGATAAATAGGTACCGCTCCGGCGGGAAGGTAAACGGCGTTTCCATGCGCTGCTCTGGTTCGCCAGAAGTGGCTTAGTCATGCTGGCCACATGACCCGGAAGCTGTACGCCGGCTCCCTTGGCCAATAAAGCGAGATGAGCGCCGCAACCCCAGAGTCGGCCACGACTGGACCTAATGGTCAGGGGTCTCTTTACCCCTTTACCTTTATATTTACAGAGAATTGTACACAGGCACATTAACCAAGCCAAAAGTCACCTCATCCTTTATGTAAGAGTACATGCGATAATTCGTTTTCCATGGATCTTCAGTGGCATCCACGTAAAAACCAGCTCCAGTGCCAAAATCCCAGCTCTCATCTTCTCCTTTAATATTGCATCCCCTACCATGGAAAGAAATTCTACGCTGATAATCACCATTCACAGCAGAGGAGTGGCACTTTTCCTGTATGTTCAAGGGGCTTTATGTGCAAGCCTCTCTTTGCTTGGCAAAGGGTTGCCAGGCAGAATAGTCTACCTGGTAACGAGGAAAACCTTGCACACTTGGATGGACTTTACTAGATGAAGAGCTAAAAGCACATGCAACTGTCTAGCCAATTGTGGGGAAGTAAAAGGCAGATCTTAAGTGTGTGCTGTTCCCCACCCACACCACCCAGGAGGAAGATGCATTTACAGGAAAATCTGCTTATCAATACTGTATCTGTGCTGATCTGGCAACTACTGGAACTGCACAGGAAAACGTCTGTTGGTTAGGAAGGCCGAACAGAGACTCCATTTTCTCAGGGTCTTGCGAAAGAACAATTTTAAACAAAAATTGATGATCTCCTTCTACCGGGCCACAATAGAAAGTGTCCTTTCATACTGTATATCAGTGTGGTATGCTGGTTTGACAGCCACAGACAGGAAGTCCCTACAGAGGGTGGCGAATACAACACATGACATCATAGGCTGTCCTTGGAGTTTGCTAGATGACATCGCGGGAGACCGCTGCCTCAGGAGAGCAAGGAAAATTCTTAGGGACAACTCACACCCTGGCCAGCACGTCTTTAATCTCCTACCTTTGGACAGGAGATACAGAAGTAGAGTCAGCCGCACCAACAGGTTAAAGAACAGTTTTTATCCGTGGGCTGTTGGGCTGCTGAATGGGAAAAAATAGTGGTGTACAGTGGTAACTTGGGTTAAGAACTTAATTCGTTCTGGAGGTCCGTTCTTAACCTGAAACTGTTCTTAACCTGAAGCACCACTTTAGCTAATGGGACCTCCCACTGCCGCTGCGCTGCCAGAGCACAATTTCTGTTCTCATCCTGAAGCAAAGTTCTTAACCCGAAGTACTATTTCTGGGTTAGCAGAGTCTGTAACCTGAAGTGTTTGTAACCTGAAGCGTATGTAACCCGAGGTACCACTGTAATTGACTTCCAACAAGCACACAGAGTGCAAACAAGATTGAGTGTATGGGGGGGGGCTCGTTTAATTTCACTGCACACAGGTGGTGTAGTGACAATGAAGGATTATTATTATTATTATTGATACAAATGGACAAGATTCTAGGTTTGTATACAAAGTTTGGCTTAACTTACTAGTAATACACACAGCTACGTAACAGCAATAATTAAAAGCAATTAATTTGATGTTCATTGGCCTAGCACTTACGTGGGCTGGTATCTGGGGCAACCACAACCAGGCCTTGTTCAGCTGCAGCTTGATGGAAACCTGCTTTCGTTATGAAATTTTGTTCCGTGCACGTTAATCCTGAAAAGACAGAAGAGCATTGTAATGGCACGAGCACTGCCAATAGGCTTCTGGCTCAGAAGCTATCCAAGTGAGCGTGTTTTAGCCCAAAAGTAAGAGGATGCACTTTCCACTTTGAACCATTGCTTTATATCCAATGATATTGTTGGGTCTAAGTGTCTAAACTGATTAGCCTCAAAGTATAACTTAAAAAAACGAATTCCCCCATCCTCCCAGTGATAGATGTTTATATAACAGGGCTTTTTGTTGTTGTTCCAGGTTTTTTAATTCAGAAAGATTCCAAACATTTTTGCCACTCATTTAGCTGTTCCCCTTGCTAAATGTCTCCCCTAGGAAGAACTGGAAAAGATAAGTAAACTTAGGAACAACAATAGTTTCAATTGCTGTTATACAACCAATTAATGACAGCTTCTCATCTTTAATTTTCAGAATTTCCCCCCATAAAGGGCCATAACTTGCCACTATCAGCCTGTTTGTTTGTTTGTTTTTGTTTGTTTATAATCTGGACTCTCAGATACATAAATGGCATGTGGCAAAGTGGTATATTCAAAGCATTTGATTATTTCTCTTCTGTTCTTTCGGTGGAATATGATGGGACAAAATATCTGATTTTTTACAATTTACTTGTAATTCTGCCACCATGCAAAAGTTATTCAATTACTGTTTAATTGCAGGGTTGTTTAGTAAACATTTTCTTCATTAAATTTTTATTACTGTACCAGTAGACAAAGAAAACAAAAAAGACATTGTGTTGACAGTGAATATTTTTTTTATTACACATAAGTTCTAATGCACAATCCCACCACATATGGGTGAGTGACCGTCTATTCTTTGTTAATTATGTGGTGTATATATACGGGTGGAGCTGTGGACTTGCCGATCAGAAGGTTGACGGTTTGAATCCCCACCACCCTCTCAGAGCCCTCACACCTCCTTCCCAAAGCCCAGAGCCTTCCTTGCTTACTCAGCTTTGGGAAGGAGGCACAAGGGCTGGAGGGGGGCATAAAATGGTGCAGAGGGCTGCCAAAAAAGGCATTGAGGGCTGCGAGTTGGACCAACCTGATCTAGATGATAATCTACAAAAACACTTTGCAATCTTGTCTGGGCTATCAGATTGGTGGGGGGGGGGGCTTCTTGCTGTCTCCCTGGCAGGTGCTGCTCCCTGTGTAGGGATGCAATATAAGGCTCCCTTGGTATGAAAACTCCCTTTTCCTAGTGGCACAGACAACATTTTTGGTAAGCTTCTGTCACTACCTCAAGACACTTTTGTTTCCCCAGGCTTCAGACTTATGGTGGGCCCATTTAGCTTGCTGTAATCTATGGAGTTTTGACGCTGCGCTGTTTCGTAGAATTTTTGTTTTCATTTCTTTTAAATATATATATTTTTTTATTTGTTGTTTGATCTCTTCCTGGAAACCACTTTGTGATAATTTTTTGATGAAAAGTAGTATATGAATCTATGAAATAACTATCAGAAGAAGCCTACTGAAATCACACCTACAACATGTTTGAATTAATTTTAACCACCTCTGGCAATATCTTTTTCAAGGGCCACTTCAGATTACTCACCTGAGAGCCAGTACAATACAGGGCATTTCTCAGTTTCTGCTTTGGGTGGCAGATAAACCCCAAACTTCATTTTGCATTTCAGCTCAACGCTGTTGACAACAAAATGCAGTTAACATGGACTAACAAAACTCGACAAAAATAATGTCGCTTATAAGAAACCGCAACCTCCAATCAGAGTTGCCAGAGGCTAATACTCAAGCCACATGCTTTATTTAACTACTTAAGAGTGTTTTTGTTCCCCCATGGAAATCAGTGCAACTAATTCAGTCAAGCCAAGTAGAGGCAGCAGACAATTGGAGCTGCCACAAGAAGGGACAGGATGCAGATTATCAAAGAGGGTCTACCTGAGTATCCAAGAATGCAAAAGGAGACACACGAGGGACTGAGAATAGAGACTAAAGGGACAGAGTGGAATACAGTGGGGTGGGGGTGGCTAATCTGTGGCCCTCCAGATATTGGACTACAGCTCCCATCATCCCTGCCCATTGACCATGCTGGCTGGGGCTGATGGGAGCTGGAGTTCAACAGCATCTGGAGGGAGACAGGTTTCCCACCCCTGCAATGGACAACTGGACTTTCACTGAAAAAGCAAGGAAGATGTAGTGATGGTTAAGCTACTAAAAACGTAATTAACATTGAAGAACAAAAAGATGTTTTCTCAGTACTTTGGTATGACACCAAAGCCTAAATATCAACAGAACTGCTATATGCAAAATTGCTGTCTGCCAAAAAACAACAACAAAAAACAACAAAAAAACCACCAGGAAGGGGCAAAAATGAATATACATTTGTTTAGTAATTAGCTGTTGTCCAGCCCCAAGCACATGGGTTATAGATACTGGGTAGGTTGCACCCAAAGGCTTCTGCTATGGCACAGGGCAGGTGCAGGAGGAGAGGGGGGAAACAACCCCCTTGCACTAGTGCTAATCCTTGCACTAGCGTTTTTATTTAGTACTTTTATTTATACTGCCCTGTGGGTATAGGCCTGCAGCATAAAGGTGCTATTCAGTGTTATTCCCACTCAAGAATAGGTCAATTCAAGTTAATGGACATGGCTAACTTAGGTTCATTCATTTCAGTGGGTCTACTCAACTAAGTAGGACTTAGCCGAATACAACCCTAACCCCAGGGTTGCAAAATATCCTTTAAAAAAAATTACATGAATAAAACATTTACCTGTCATGCTCAAACACTTTCTGAAAACCACCAAAGCATTTATTGCTAGAAATTTCTTTCAAGGCCATGATCTCTGCTGGAAACAAAGGGGGGAAACTGTTTTAGAGTTGTACTTATTTATTAAATTTCTAAAACACGCTTCACTACATCTTATGGTACTGAATTCCATAACTGAACTTACAGCAGCCTCATAACAAGAAGATAATTCAGGTTGGAAATATATACACTTACGTGGGAGTAAGTTGCATTAAACTCAGGAGGGCTTACGTAGGAGTAAGCATGCGTGTAAATGCACCATAAAGCTTCTACAACAGATAAAGGATTTTTCCTACCAACCTACAGCTTTTCTTCACAATGCCATCACCCCTAGTTATTCACAACACACACAGAGAGACATTCTTCAATATAAAGATTCAGATTTCAGAAGGCAGAAAACTGAGATATAACTGTGTGCTGTATTTGGGAAGTTTGCCTTTGTTTTCCTGATTTTACAAGCCTGTTGGCAGAACCTAGAAAACAGGGTTTCCTTTCTTGGTTCCCAAACTGCTGTCCAAGGACAGTGGTCAGTTTGATCCAGTGAGATCTTTCTTCCTTAATCCAAGGTGCAGCTGAAGGTGGCTGTGCCACTGAAGAGAATGTATTCCAGGACTCAACTTTTACTATTCTATCACATGTTCCTAGCATGGGAGGAGATCTGGATCGTTCAATTAACCTTTGGCCAGGTTGGAAAAGATTTTGCAAGGATAGGAGTTGTAGTAAATCTGTTTGAGAAGTTGCTGCCAGGGAGTTGAAATCGTGCTGTTTGAGGGCAGGGGAGCATTTTACTGCTTGTGCTCTTTCACTCCCTTTTATTGCCACATATGGTCAGGGCTATCATTAGGCCAACCAGACAGCCACCTAAGGTGCAAACCTCTTTTGAGGGGCACAGTTTTATACAGATTAGCTTATAAATTTCTGACAATGTTTTATTTTGAAGAAGTTTATCATTTCTACAAGATGTTCATTTTTGAAAATTGCAGTGAGCAATTTTTGGTGTGCGTGCAAATCGATAGCCTTGCCAAGGGCATAAAATAGCCTGGCAGTGGGCACTGGGTACGGTAAAGGTAAAGGTAAAGGGACCCCTGACCATTAGGTCCAGTCGTGGCCGACTCTGGGGTTGCGGCGCTCATCTCGCTTTACTGGCCGAGGGAGCCGGCATACAGCTTCTGGGTCATGTGGCCAGCATGACTAAGCCGCTTCTGGCGAACCAGAACAGCGCACGGAAATGCTGTTTACCTTCCCGCTGAAGCGGTACCTATTTATCTACTTGCACTTTGACGTGCTTTCGAACTGCTAGGTTGGCAGGTGCAGGGACCGAGCAACGGGAGCTCACCCCGTTGCGGGGATTCAACCCGCTGACCCTCTGATCGGCAAATCCTAGGCTCTGTGATTTAACCCACAGCGCCACCAGCGTCCCCACTGGGTACGGTAATGTACTGTTAAACCTGCATTTTAAAATGTTTGTGATTTTTTTATTGTCCGTGGGTTTTTGTTTTGACTTTGGTTGTAAATCCTTTCAGGGCTCCTTATCCAGTGGGAATCAAAGAACTGTAGAGTTGCAAGAGACCCCAAGGGTTATCCAGCCATGCAGGAATCTCAACTAAAGCATCCGTGACAGATGGCTATCCAACCTCTGCTTTAAAAACTCCAAGGAAGGAGAACCCACTACCTTCTGAGGGAATCCACACTGCGGTTGAACAGCTCTTACTGTCAGAAAGTTATTGTTTAGTCGGAAGACCGGGGTGTGTGCATGTGGTGCTATGGGTCACTGTGTCTGGCTGCTATTTTTTATTTATCACATTTGTATACCACTGTTCATGGCATAACGAAACAGAATACAGTGGATGCTTGGGTTGCGAACGTGATCCGTGCGGGAAGCACATTCGCAACCCACAGCGCCACGTGTGCACACTCGAGGGTTGCGATTCGGCGCTTCTGCGCATGCCATAGCTGTCAACTTTTCCCTTTTCTTGTGAGGAATCCTATTCGGAATAAGGGAATTTCCCTTAAAAAAAGGGAAGCGTTGACAGCTATGGCACATGTGCAAAGCGTGATTTAGTGCTTCTGCACATGCGCCAAAACCCGGAAGTAACCCATTCCGGTACTTCCGGGTTCAGCGCAGTGCGCAACACGAAACGTCTGTAACCCGAGGTATGACTGTAGAAGCACAAAATACATAATAAAAAGCGAGAACAAAAACCCGAAACGAACCAATAGCCCTCCCACTCCCACAAACCCAAAGGTCTGTTGGTTCGAGACCCCCCTGGGGACAGCTGTGGGCAAAAGATTCCTGCATTTGCAAGGGGCTGGACTAGATGGCCCTTAGGGACCCCTTCCAACACTACAATTCTCTTAAGTATAAAGGGAAGTGTAAATGGAATAAACCTAAACTTCGCCTGGCCAGCAAAGGACAAACTGGTTCTGTTAAGTTGTGGGTGAACATATCAGACGACACAGCGATTCTTCAGACAGCACGTGTTTATTTGCAGGCAAGAACAGAACTGAACTGAAGAGTTCAGCCAACCTGCTTATTATATAGAGCTCAACTACAATGCAACAGTAACAACTTTCTTAACTATCCAATCACTGAACGTCACTTTCAATTCCTTATTTAAATATGTGGACCTGAGAGAAAACTATCTACAGAATCCCCCTGCTGGCCCAGGGTGAGAACTTCAGTACATAACAGGTTCCTTTATTAATTCCCCAAAACTGTTTATATTCTTTTTTTCTTTATATTCTTTTTCTTTTTCTCATTTACCTTCTTTTTTCTTTTTTCCTTTTTTTCCTTTTTTCTTTTCGTTTTCTTTTTTTCTTTTACTATTGTAAAAGAAAAAAAGAGGTTTTTTTGTTATGTTTATGTATGAAAAATAATAAATATTATTGTGGGGGGAGGAAAGATTAAATAAATAAATAAGAAAATGTACGATAAGAAAAGTTAGGAAATATGATTATGACTGTGATATGGTTTTATGAGATAATGATATTGGAAACTGCTATATATAATCACTAAGAAATTCAGATGGAAGAGACTAGAGGAAGTCAAGTAATATGTTTATGAAGATGGATTTTAATTACGGTAATTATGTTTTAGTTTATGTGGTGATTTGATGCATTTTATGTTTTATATTATTTTTCTTTTCGTTTTATTCTTTTTCTTTTACTATTGTTAACTCTCTCTTTTTGTTATGTTTATGTATGAAAAATAATAAATATTATTGTGGGGGGGGGGGAATTAATTCCCCAAAACTGACCGACACACAACACACACACACAAAAGCAAGCTTTGCAAACCGCCTCAGCCACAGGCTGCGTCTGCCTCTCGAAGTGAAACCAGCACCAGGGAAAGCAATGGCGGTGTGTGGAAAAGAGGGAGCTATCCTTTCCCTGGCGGCACTTACCGTCCTCCCCAGCTGCCTTTCTGAGCTCCGCGAGCGGCTCAAGCGACACCAAACTCCCCTCAAAAAGTTGGCCTTGCCTCTCTCGACGAGGGTCCGTTTGCTTTTACCTCACACACGCGCGCGCGCTCTCTCTTTCTCTGGCGCCGCAGGGCTTCATGGGAATTGTAGTCCCTTCGCCATGTACTTCGCCTTGCTCTGAGCGACCGGGGAACTCCACCTCCCAAGAAGGTCCGTTTGCTTTTCCTCACACACACGCACCCTCTCTTGCTCTGGCGCCGCAGGGCTTCATGGGAATTGTAGTCCCTCCGCCATGTACTTCGCCTTGTTCTGAGCGACGGGGGAACTCCAAATCCCAAGAAGCTTTGCTCCGTCCCGAACGTGCGCGCCTCGCTCGCTCCCGCGGCGGGGGGCGGGGGCTCTGCTCGTGCCCGGCCTCGCGCCCGCCGAGGCTGCTCGTCGATGGCCGCCCGCCGCTATCCCCGGCTCTGCCGCCTTTTGGCGGGCCTCGGAGGGGCCGCCTCGCTCGTGCTGCTGATCAGCCTGTACACGGCGGTGTCTGAGGTGCAGGTGGGTTGGCAGGTACAGAACGGACCGCCCTCCGCTCCCGCGCCGCGTTTAGCAGGGTCCCTTGGGGCACAACAGCCCTGTGAGGTGGGCCAGGCTGAGGGAGCGACGCCCAGGGTCGGGGGGGGGCGGCCCTTTCCCTTCACAGCTGTGTGAATATGCACACATCTGTGAGGAACTAATCCAGGGTTTCGCAAACCTGGGTCTCTAGCTGTTGTTGTTTTGGACTACAACTCCCATCATCCCTAGCAATAATAATAATAATAATAATAATAATAATAATAATAATAATAATTTATTATTTGTACCCCGCCCATCTGGCTGGGTTTCCCCAGCCACTCTGGGCGGCTTCCAACAGAACACTAAAATACACTAAAATGTCACACATTAAAAACTTCCCTGAACAGGGCTGCCTTCAGATGTCTTCTGAATGTCAGGTAGTTGTTTATCGCTTTGACATCTGGTGGGAGGGCTTTCCACAGGGCAGGTGCCACCACCGAGAAGGCCCTCTGCCTGGTTCCCTGTAGCTTTGCTGCTCGCAGTGAGGGAACCGCCAGAAGGCCCTTGGCGCTGGACCTCAGTGTCCGGGCAGAACGATGGGGGTGGAGACGCTCCTTCAGGTATACTGGGCCGAGGCCGTTTAGGGCTTTAAAGGTCAACACCAACACTTTGAATTGTGCTCAGAAATGCACTGGGAGCCAGTGTAGGTCTTTCAAGACCGGTGTTATGTGGTCTCGGCGGCCGCCCCCCGTCACCAGTCTAGCTGCCGCATTCTGGATTAGCTGTAGTTTCCGGGTCACCTTCAAAGGTAGCCCCACGTAGAGCGCATTGCAGTAGTCCAAGCGGGAGATAACCAGAGCATGCACCACTCTGGCGAGACAGTCCGCAGGCAGGTAGGGTCTCAGCCTGCGTACCAGATGGAGCTGATAAACAGCTGCCCTGGACACAGAATTGATCTGCACCTCCATGGACAGCTGTGAGTCCAAAATGACTCCCAGGCTGCGCACCTGGTCCTTCAGCGGCGCAGTTACCCCATTCAGGACCAGGGAGTCCTCCACACCAGCCCTCCCCCTGTCCCCCCAAAACAGTACTTCTGTCTTGTCAGGATTCAACCTCAATCCATTAGCCGCCATCCATCCTCCAACCGCCTCCAGACAATCACACAGGACCTTCACCACCTTCACTGGTTCTGATTTGAAAGAGAGGTAGAGCTGGGTGTCATCTGCATATTGATGGACACCCAGCCCAAACCCCCTGATGATCTCTCCCAGCAGCTTCATATAGATGTTAAAAAGCATGGGGGAGAGGAAGGAACCCTGAGGCACCCCACAAGTGAGGGCCCAGGGGTCTGAACACTCATCCCCCCACCACCACTTTCTGAACACGGCCCAGGAGGAAGGAAGGAAGGAAGCTAGCAAGGAAGCCAACTAGCAAGACCAGTCCTCAGGGATGATGGGAATTGTAGTCCAAAAACAGCTGGAGACCCAAGTTTGGGAAACCCTGTGACCTAATCGATTACAATTTCTTTAATGGGGAGGCAGCTTGGATGAAAAGTATTCGGGGTGTGGGATCGTATCACAGCTGTCCATGGAGGCGCAGGTTAATTCTGTATCCAGGGCGGCTGTCTACAAGCTCCACCTGGCCGCAGACTGTTTTGCCAGAGTGGTGCATGCTCTAGTTATCTCCCGCTTGGACTACTGCAATGCGCTCTACATGGGGCTACCTTTGAAGGTGATCTGGAAATTGCAATTAATCCAGAATACGGCAGCTAGACTGGTGACTGGGGCTGGCCGCCGGGACCACATAACACCGGTCCTGAGAGATCTGCATTGGCTCCCAGTACGTTTCCGAGCACAATTCAAAGTGTTGGTGCTGACCTTTAAAGCTATAAATGGCCCAGTAGACCTGAAGGGGCATTTCCAACCCCATCGTTCAGCCCAGACACTGAGATCCAGCACCGAGGACCTTCTGGCAGTTCCCTCATTGTGGGAAGTGAGGTTACAGGGAACCAGACAGAGGGCCTCCTTGGTAGTGGCACCCGCCCTGTGGAACGCCCTCCCTTCAGATGTGAAGGAAATAAGCAGCTATCTTCTCTTTAAAAGACATCTGAAGGCAGCCCTGTTTAGGGAAGTTTTTAATATTTAATGCTGTATTGTTTTTAACACTTGATTCGAAGCCGCCCAGAGTGGCTGGGGAAACTCAGCCAGATGGGTGGGGTATAAATAATAAATTATTATTATTATTATTATCATCATCATCATCATCATCATCATCCAAGTCCATGGGAAACCAAGCCATGTTTGGAGGATATTTGTTCTGTCTGAACTGGCCCTGAGACGAACCACAAAAAGGGCATCTCAGTCCGCACTAGGGAACAAGGGGTGCCACCTAAGGCAGTCACCTCACCTTGCCTCATGGGTGGGCTGGCCCTGCAGACTATACAATAGTCCGTATTACTGAAAAAAATGTGTTTTTAGTTGGCTGTTTAACGATCAATCTGTGGGACGTAATACTTCAGGATACATATTAGTATTTATATCATTCCCCCCCCCCCTCACGTTACATGAGAACTGCACTGTGAGAATGGACTGTTGGTTTGGAAGGGTCATGAGGCTACCAAAACAAACTTGCACTTTCTGAATTTGTAAATAAAAACAAAACTAAGGCCTTTTAAAAAAAGAAAAAGCTCTAAAAGGGCCTAACAAGAACCGGTGAGTTTTCTGGAGGTATGGAAAGCTGCTTATGGCAGTTGAACTGAGAAAAAGGAACAGAAATTGTTTACTGTATCACACCTCAGCCACTAGGTTTGTATAGCTAAGAACAGTTGAAGGGTGGAATTTGGAGTGCTGGTTGAAAACAAACAAAAATAGAAAGGAAAATGGAGGGTAGGGTGAAGAGAGGGGTTTGACCTACTGAAGTCCCTGAAAGCTTAGCTGTTAAAACATTCGTGTTTTGGACTGGCAGCCCTCTAATGCAGTATGGTATGTCAGAGGAGGGCTGGATGTAGGGGGAAGAAAAATATGTATTTTATCACTTCCCCATTCCTGAAACTTCTCCTTCCCTTTTGAGGCCAGGGGAGCATTGCCATCTACGCGAAACCTGTAAATGAAATTATCTTGAGATTTGGGATGTGGTGTCATCATCAGTACATTGGTGATGACCAGTTCTGCTTCTCTTCTTCATTAAATCTAGATGAAATTATGGAACCAATGTCTGGAATCAATAATGGAGTGGGTAAGGGCCAGTAAACTGAAGATCAATCCAGGCAAGATGGAGGTTTCATTGATGCATGGCAATGAGGTTTGCAGTTTGGATTTTTACTTCTGACCTCACCTTTGGAGGCCTAAATGGTTTCTGTAGCTTGAAGCACATTTCACCAGCTTGACTGGTTTGCCAGCTGCAACCCACTCCTACCCACAGTAGCCTGGACACGGTTATCCATGCTCCAAAGAACGCAAGTGCCCTGTTTAGTCCAGTGGCTATTTCCCACAGTGGCCAACCATAGGCCTGTGAAAAGGCTACAAGCAAGACATGAGGACAGTCTCACTCTCCAGGGGCTGATGCTCAGAGACATGGTGCCTCTGATCGCTGTTTGTCAGCCTAGCGTACCTCACAGGGTTGCGATGAGAACAAAAATGGGAAAACCTCAGGCATGCAGTGCTTAGAACAAGGATGAGATAAAAATGTGATGGATAAACGTTAAATACTGCTCTCTGGAGATGGCTCATTTAACAGTAATTTTTTTGCCATTTATTTTTAAGGTGTTAAGTGAGTTGACTTTCTTCCCTCTCTGGAGAAGAGAGAAGCCACTCTACAAGCTTGATGTAAACTGGCCTTTGATTCCTTTTACTGGTCAGACGTTTTGTGTTGCTGTGGATGACGTCAATGGATTAGTATATGTGGGACAGGTAAGAAAAGACATTCTTCTGACCAGCAGAGTTGTCCAGTGTGTAGCTTCGATTGTTAGCAGTTCCTGTTTTTACAGCAACCAGACTAGGAACTCTTGCACAGAACACTGGGTGGAGGCTCATCCTTCAATGTCAGGAAAGTTCACATTTCTCTTTATATTTTTCCTTCCTGAATGCATGTGGATCTGTAAGGAAGCAGACATGCTTTCCGGTGTTGAGGAGAGCTTTGTGAGGAGCAGACATTCGCATGACTTTTTTCCAGTGTGGGTGAACTTTTTCCACACTGAAAAAAAGAATGCCTCCCAAAAAAAAGTGTAGTGGCAAGAGCTACCTAAAGGAGTAAATGAATGCTGTTGCTTCTTTCGCTATAAAATACCATCTTTTCTTCAAAAAGTTCCATAACTTGGCATGCTATTTTAACATTCATATTATGTTTACTCCGGAGCTTAGAAGACTAATGCTAGAATAGGGAGCCAATTGTCATTCCCTTTCCAACATTTCCCCTTTACACTCCACTTTTCAGTCTTTATGGTTGACTAAGATTGTTCATTAAAGGGACGCGGGTGGCGCTGTGGGTTAAACCACAGAGCCTAGGACTTGCTGATCAGAAGGTTGGGGGTTCGAATCCCTGCGACGGGATGAGCTCCCGTTGCTCGGTCCCTGCTCCTGTCCACCTAGCAGTTCGAAAGCACAAAAAGTGCAAGTAGATAAATAGGTACCGCTCCAGTGGGAAGGTAAACGGCATTTCCGTGCGCTGCTCTGGTTCGCCAGAAGTGGCTTAGTCATGCTGGCCACATGACCCAGAAGCTGTACGCTGGCTCCCTCGGCCAATAAAGCGAGATGAGCGCCGCAACCCCAGAGTCGGTCACAACTGGACCTAATGGTCAGGGGCCCCTTTACCTTAAGATTGTTCATTATAACAGTGCCAGTGAAGAAAGCCACAATTATTTTAAGTAGATGACATCAGCAAGTCACTAGGATATCTCCATTAATGACCATTTTCTTTCCAGTGTAGGAAATGCTGGGCTGTGTCTTTGTACTAGGAATTGTGCTTTTATTCTCATGGCATTATGTTTCCCAAAGCTTGGTTGGTCTAAATGGATTCAGAGGCTGAGAGTTCAGCTTTCCTTTTTCTGTAGATCTGGCTGCAAGATCAAGAAAGGAGGCTTTTAAATGTGCCACAGTTCCTCTATACTTGCCCTGCCTATCTGCTGCACATTAGTTCCATTCCATAAGGTGGCTGCTTTCTGTCAGACCCTCCCCTCTGCCTTTCTGCCAGTTCTTTGTTCAGTTTCTCACACCCAGACTCTGCTTGATCTCTTGTATCCCTGATCTTCCTAGAAACCTTCTCTTCTAGCCTGAATATCCTGTCTCTTTGCTTTCTTTAAAAAAAGCCAAAAAAAAAAAACCTCGCAGCATCTTTTCCTCACCAGTATCTTAGATTCATGGGACGCGGGTGGCGCTGTGGGTAAAAGCCTCAGCGCCTAGGGCTTGCCGATCGAAAGGTCGGCTGTTCGAATCCCCGCGGCGGGGTGTGCTCCCGTTGCTCGGTCCCAGCGCCTGCCAACCTAGCAGTTCGAAAGCACCCCCAGGTGCAAGTAGATAAATAAGGGACCGCTTTCTAGCGGGAAGGTAAACGGCGTTTCCGTGTGCAGCTCTGGCTCGCCAGAGCAGCGATGTCACGCTGGCCACGTGACCCGGAAGTGTCTCCGGACAGCGCTGGCCCCCGGCCTCTTGAGTGAGATGGGCGCACAACCCTAGAGTCTGTCAAGAGTGGCCCGTACGGGCAGGGGTACCTTTACTTTTATCTTAGATCCGGGATTGCCAACCCGATTAGCCTGCAGAAGCCTTCATTGGTGCCCCCAGGGAGGCGCCCCAGACTGAGCTTTCATTTAAAAAAAGTAAGTTTCTTGCCCTCTTAAAAAGAAAACTCTGAAGCAAAATGGGAATAAGTGATTTCTGTGAAATAACCAAGCCTGGCTCCTCCTGCCTGTCAGTGGTTTTAGCCAATAAGTGAAATCAGAACTGCAACTGATGAGTGAGTTGTTCGATGGGCAGGCAATAGGGTCCTAAAGAACTTCTCTTTTCCCTTGTCTTTAATGCACTTTTCTTGTGTCTTATTTTCCTGGCAGAATTTCAACAGGTTATGCCTTTTCTCGTATAGAAGTACGATTATGGGGATAGCTTCACTGTGATTGTACTCTGTCCACTTTTGTGTTATGCCATGACCATCTAGGTTAAACACTTTTACTCCATTCTTTAGTCAAAAAGGCTATGAGAGTGGCTTTACAATGATCTTTAGGCTTATAATCTACAATACATGGCAGACAAGGAAAAAGAGATGGGGAGGGAGAGGAGGGAAATCACATTCATGCATCATTTCCTACAGTTCTTATAATGATCTTTGGGATGGAGGCAATTCACATAGCCTGATGGACTAATGCCTTTTACTAGGTGACAGTTGAGGAAGAGCCAAAAGGTGACTGGTTTCTCAGCAAAAGCTGTGGAGTTGCTCTGTTTCTCTTTCTCTCTATTTTGTAGCCTGATAGAATGGCTGCTGCTTGGTGACCGTTGAGAGAGGGCTAAAGGCAGCTGTTTGGTTGCAGTATATGCTGAGGACAAAAATCCACTATCCTTTTGTACCTCTGCATTAAGATTCAGTGAAAGGAAGCCACTGATCAGCTATTTCCTTGCATGTGAACCAGACATAACAATACCTGGTGGAGCTAATAAGATTTGTGAGAATATATGTATATGCATATGTATATGTATGTATATGCAATAAGGAAATGTTATGAAAAAAACATTGAATTTCATTCTGCAAGATCTGATTGGTTCTCTGTTATCTTTGTACACTTTTACAGAGAGGTGATGAAAATGTGCCCAAGGTTGTAGTTTATACTGAGGATGGCTATTTCTTACAAGCATGGAATGCTTCCATTGAAATGCCTCATGGTATCTTTGTGCTGAACACACCCAATGCAACTTCAGTGTGGATCACAGATGTTGGAACTGGTATGTGGAATGATTATTACTAAATAACACCAGAGTGAAACAAAACAGTGTGCTTGTGATGTTTTGACGTAAATTTTAGAGGCTGCCTTTCCACAAAAGAACTTGTCTCCATGCTGTCTCATGATATAAAACATGAAAAAAATAACACAACAGTCCATTCTAAGACACAAAGGTGAAACGATAAAGATTGAAATAACCAGAGCATTCATGTGCCTCTCCTTGCAGTTCCTTCCTTCAGCAGCTTGCTCTTGTATGTTCTTGGGCCTGATATCCAACTGAGTGTACAGTTTAACTACAGTACAGCCCACACAAAGTGCCCAGTACCACCAGGCCATCATCCTAAACAATACAGCTCTGCATCTGTGCAAATCTTGCAGTTTGTACAAGTTCAGGTGATTAAAAAAGGGAGGAAGATGTTTCTTCCTGGGCGTTCAGTAGGCTGAGGAACAAGAACAGGTTCATGGTGGAAGATCAAGGGCAGTGCACACAGCACAGAGGTTCCACACTTGAGAACAGTAAATCCAGTTAATGTCCCCTCCAGTTTTTGCCCAATTCTTCACAACCTCACTCCTTTTAAAATTATGCTGTTCGCAGAGAAAATGTGATCTTACTGAAAAATGTCTATTTCCTTCTTCATATAGGCAAATATGGACACACAATTAAACAGTATACTCCTTCAGGTGAACTTCTTCAAGTCATAGGTACTGCAGGTAGAGCAGGTTCTGGTACAAATCCCTTGCAGTTTGACCAGCCAGCAGAGATTTTTGTGGAAGAAAGCGGGGACATCTACATTGTAGATGGTGATGGAGGACTGAACAACCGCTTGGTCAAATTGACCCCAGGTAAGTGAATGAACGTGAATGGCCTATACGTGCAACATTCAGAATTGCTTTGATGTACAGCAATAGGGAACCTCCAGCCACCAGACCTAATCAGCCTCAGCTTGTTTGGCCCCCAAGCCGGTTTACGACAAGCCCTCCCCACCTGCCATCACATGTGATGTCAGGTGTGTGGCACATAAAAGACACAGGTGCCAAGGAACAATTGGGAGTTTAAAATGCTCTCCCAATTGTTCCTTGGCAAGTGGGGCTTCTGAATAGCAAGCCCCTTTGAAGTCCATTTGCAGGTGTGGTTTGGATCCAAACCACACCTGCAAATTGACATATTTTCCTCTGTGGGCCTGCAGAGCTAGTATGCAGAGGGGAAATGTCTGTTTGCAGGTACAGTGCCTGCAAATGGGCCAAGCAAGGCCTGCCGTCAGTGCCAGTCAGCTGGGCAGCCTGTTTGAAATTGTGAGCTGGTATCATAATGACATACTAGACAAGTAGGTGTCTCCACCCACATGTCAAAATAGCCTCCAGGGGGTGGGGAATTTCCCAGTGCCTGCACTAGTGGTTTGTTTTTGTTTCTGCTGTGTTCTCCTAATTTATGTGACTATCATTTCTGTATTTCTTGAGGTCTTTTGTCTCTCCCATATGGGTGTAACGCTTTAAGGGTTCTGTTAATTGCAGCATTTGAAACTTCGGTAGAACTTCAACAATCAGACTATGATAGAAGGAAATGTGTTGTTTTGTTTTTGTTTATTAAATGTAGGAGAAGGCCCAAATCCTTACTGGATAGTTTTTAGTTTTACAGTATTTAGAATATGTTCCCCCACTCTGTTTTTAGGAAGAGGACAGAAAGTTAATCTGTTTTTGAAATCACTAAAGAATTAGAAAGCTGTCAGCTGACCTTTAAAGCCATATGCGGCCTAGGACCCTTGTACTTATGGGACCGTCTCCTGGTTTGTCCCGCAGAGGACTCTAAGGTCCATGAATAATAATAGCTTAAAGGTCCCGGGCCCTAAGGAAGTCATATTATCCTACACCAGGGCCAGAGCTTTTTCAGTGACGGTTCCAACCTGGTGGAATGCTCTGTCCCACGAGACTAGGGCCCTGCAGGACTTGATCTCCTTCCGCAGGGCCTATTCCGCCTGGCCTTCAATTTGAATTAGCCTGATCCTATATTCCCTTTTCCCTTTCCTCTTCTATGAAGAAACCCTTTCTGGGACCCCACATTTAAATTCTTATCCACATACCTCCTTGCTGGCCCTAGTAGGACCAACTTGGCCAGTTAGCCCAGGTGATCATTCGATGTCTATTGACTGGGGTATTTTCCCCCCAAAAAATGACCCCTGAATTTTTGAATTTTATTGATATTGATGCTGCATTTTATGCTGTATTCTGTGCTGTTTTATGCTGTTTTTTAAGTTGCATTTTAATCAATGTTTTATATTTGCTGTTAGCCGCCCTGAGCCTGGTTTTTAAACCGGGAAGGGCGTGGTATAAATAAAAATAAATTTATTTATTTATTATGATGTAATGCAGATGTTTTATTATAAAATGCACAGCAATATATGGTGCTTCCTTTCTACCTGCAGACTTTAAGACTCTATGGCTGCACGGAGAAAATGGTTCTGGCACTGCACAGTTCAATATCCCACACAGTGTAACGGTGGATGCTGTCGGACGGGTAAAGTAGCCGTGATCGCTGTAATATAGTTTTATAAATAGCCATCATGACCAGGGCTTCAAATTTTCTCACTTGAATTTAAACTTCCAGTAAGTTACTTGCGTAGGGACGCGGATGGCGCTGTGGGTTAAACCACAGAACCTAGGACTTGCCAATCAGAAGGTTGGTGGTTCGAATCCCCACGACGGGGTGAGCTCCCGTCGCTCGGTCCCTGCTCCTGCCAACCTAGCAGTTCGAAAGCACGTCAAAGTGCAAGTAGATGAATAGGTACCACTCCGGCGGGAAGGTAAACGGCGTTTCCGTTCGCTGCTCTGGTTCGCCAGAAGTGACTTAGTCATGCTCGCCACATGACCCAGAAGCTGTACGCCGGCTCCCTTGGCTAGTAAAGCGAGATGAGCACCACATCCCCAGAGTCGGCCACGACTAGACCTAATGGTCAGGGGTCCCTTTACCTTTAGCTTTAATTTACTTGCAGCTTTCAAGGAAGTGTTGAGGACTGGTGCTTTAAAGTTTTGGGGCTTTCTCCAATCTTTTATGGCGTGTTTCTCTCCCCCCCCCTTCCTTGCCTGTGAATGAAACATTCCATGCTATTTTTCATTAACGAGTTTTAATTAAACCAAGAAACGAGTGATTCCATGATAGTATATTTTTTAAAAATAAATTTTTATTGGAATTTTTTTTTACAACATAACACAAACCCCCCAACACAGAAATCCACCCCCATCAGACACAAGCATAACAAACAACAAGCATAATATACAACAATACAAACAAATAAAAGACTTCCTTTATCCTGTTTCTGGCATCCTTATTTACTTCTTATAAGCTGTTTCCTTTATGAATAATTATTAAGATTTTTCTAATTATACCTTAAATATCGACAATGTCTCCTGCAGACATTAATCGAAACAAGTCCAAGTATGAATTTTAGGGCACTGTTTTGTGAAGTATTTTCTGCATTTCCCCCGATTCCATGTTAGTATTGTAGAAATGTACTGGACCAACGTTTTAACTGAAAAACTTGCATTTTTCATGTAGAAGGAAAACATGTCTATGATTTTCCTTTGTTTTCTAAACTTAGAAACAAATAATAATCTGAAACAAACGTTCGCTTACTATGAACAAGCTCTGCCTGCCTCTGGGAGAAACAAACCAGGAGGCTTGGCTTAATAGTACCTGCAGACCCACATTAGTGGGTTGCTTCTCTTCTTCCAACCGCAATCAAAAGCCGCTCTTCCTGCCTTAACACTCGTGTCATATAGGTATGTTTAGCAGGAAGCTAGGATTAAAGAGCGTGTGCTTTGCTGCAGGTATGGATTCTTCCCTAAAGAAGTTCAGTAATGTTGGCGAGATCCTATACCAGCCTGCTCAGAATGGCAACATGTAGATCCCCATTTCATGTGATATTAAACATCATAGAGCATATGCAGGACCGCTGAGGTGGTGTTTAAAAATGGCTGTGAACAGATTTTGTATTTTCAGTAGGTATGGGTTGCTGACCGAGCCAACTGGAGAATCCAGGCTTTTCAGAAAACCACAGGGGAATGGTTGGGCTGTTGGAATAGCTGCTTTACACAAGATGGCCCTTCTTCCGTCAGGTATAGTATCTGTAGCTTGCATGCGAATCTGGGCGGTGGGTGGAAGGGGAGACTTTTCAACTGAGCAGGGCTCATGTTGATTATGGAGAACGCCTTTGATTGTAAGGTGATGAAGAGCTCCAGTGCCAGTGTTAGAGCGATTTTACGTGGCACTGTGGGTATACCAGTGTTTGAGCTACTGTGTTCACTGGAGATATATCTCTGCCTAACAGTGAGATGAAAATGCCAGTGTGTTTGGTGGTGCCATATAACTTTTACACTGGCTTTCCTTAATGTATCCATCTGGCTCGAAAGAGGAGAGGTGGCTCATTAGTGCATCCATCCAAATAATTTTGCATGTTGTATTTCCATAACTTTGTACAAATATCAGATGCTAGACAGATGGTAGATGTTGCCTTTTTTGCGGCCCTTTTATTATCGGAAGGGTTGTGGCATGCAAAAGCTTGATTCGGCTGCCAAAGCCTTAAATTAGGCTTTCTAATGGGTGCCTGACTTCTATTTGGATCAGATCCAGCAATTCTGTAAGTGGAATTCTGCTCAAGAAGAAGAAGCTCCCGGCATCTGCAAATAGAAGAGGAAAAGTGCTTTGCACAGTACCCCTTGGAAATCTACTCTGCAGAGGAGTGGGTGCTGGCATTTGTGCAGGGGGGTAGCCACATGCAAGATGAGGAATAGGTGAAAAATCATTGTTGTTGTTGTTTAGTCGTTTAGTCGTGTCCGACTCTTCGTGACCCCATGGACCAGAGCACGCCAGGCACTCCTGTCTTCCACCGCCTCCCGCAGTTTGGTCAGGCTGATGTTTGTAGCTTCGAGAACACTATCCAACCATCTCATCCTCTGTCGTCCCCTTCTCCTTGTGCCCTCCATCTTTCCCAACATCAGGGTCTTTTCCAGGGAGTCTTCTCTTCTCATGAGGTGGCCAAAGTATTGGAGCCTCAACTTCACGATCTGTCCTTCCAGTGAGCACTCAGGTCTGATTTCCTTAAGAATGGATGTGTTTGATCTTCTTGCAGTCCATGGGACTCTCAAGAGTCTCCTCCAGCACCATAATTCAAAAGCATCAATTCTTCGGCGATCAGCCTTCTTTATGGTCCAGCTCTCACTTCCATACATCACTACTGGGAAAACCATGGCTTTAACTATACGGACCTTTGTTGGTAAGGTGATGTCTCTGCTTTTTAAGATGTTGTCTAGATTTGCCATCGCCTTTCTCCCAAGGAGCAGGCGTCTTTTAATTTCGTGACTGCTGTCACCATCTGCAGTGATCATGGAGCCCAAGAAAATAAAATCTCTCACTGCCTCCATTTCTTCCCCTTCTATTTGCCAGGAGGTGATGGGACCAGTGGCCATGATCTTCGTTTTTTTGATGTTGAGCTTCAGACCATATTTTGCGCTCTCCTCTTTCACCCTCATTAAAAGGTTCTTTAATTCCTCCTCACTTTCTGCCATCAAGGTTGTGTCATCTGCATATCTGAGGTTGTTGATATTTCTTCCGGCGATCTTAATTCCGGCCTTGGATTCATCCAGCCCAGCCTTTCGCATGATGAATTCTGCATATAAGTTAAATAAGCAGGGGGACAATATACAGCCTTGTCGTACTCCTTTCCCAATTTTGAACCAATCAGTTGTTCCATATCCAGTTCTAACTGTAGCTTCTTGTCCCACATAGAGATTTCTCAGGAGACAGATGAGGTGATCAGGCACTCCCATTTCTTTAAGAACTTGCCATAGTTTGCTGTGGTCGACACAGTCAAAGGCTTTTGCATAGTCAATGAAGCAGAAGTAGATGTCTTTCTGGAACTCTCTAGCTTTCTCCATAATCCAGCGCATGTTTGCAATTTGGTCTCTGGTTCCTCTGCCTCTTCTAAATCCAGCTTGCACTTCTGGGAGTTCTCGGTCCACATACTGCTTAAGCCTGCCTTGTAGAATTTTAAGCATAACCTTGCTAGCGTGTGAAATGAGTGCAATTGTGCGGTAGTTGGAGCATTCTTTGGCACTTCCCTTCTTTGGGATTGGGATGTAGACTGATCTTCTCCAATCCTCTGGCCACTGCTGAGTTTTCCAAATTTGCTGGCATATTGAGTGTAGCACCTTAACAGCATCATCTTTTAAAATTTTAAATAATTCAGCTGGAATATCATCACTTCCACTGGCCTTGTTATTAGCGATGCTTTCTAAGGCCCATTTGACTTCACTTTCCAGGATGTCTGGCTCAAGGTCAGCAACCACACTACCTGGGGGATACGAGACATCAATTTCTTTCTGGTATAGTTCCTCTGTGTATTCTTGCCACCTCTTCTTGATGTCTTCTGCTTCTGTTAGGTCCTTTCCACTTTTGTCTTTTATTATGGAAATCTTTGTACAAAATGTTCCTTTCATATCTCCAATTTTCTTGAACAGATCTCTGGTTCTTCCCATTCTATTGTTTTCCTCTATTTCTTTGCATTGCTCGTTTAAGAAGGCCTTCTTGTCTCTCCTTGCTATTTTTTGGAAATCTGCATTCAATTTCCTGTATCTTTCACTATCTCCCTCACATTTTGCTTGCCTTCTCTCCCCCGCTATTTGTAAGGCCTCGTTGGACAGCCACTTTGCTTTCTTGCTTTTCCTTTTCATTGGGATGGTTTTAGTTGCTGCCTCTTGTATAATGTTACGAGCCTCCATCCATAGTTCTTCAGGCACTCTGTCCACCAAATCTAAATCCTTAAACCTGTTCCTCACTTCCACTGTGTATTCATAAGGGATTTGACTTAGATTGTATCTTACCGGCCCAGTGGTTTTTCCTACTTTCTTCAGTTTAAGCTTGAATTTTGCTATAAGAAGCTGATGATCTGAGCCACAGTCAGCTCCAGGTCTTGTTTTTGCTGACTGTATAGAGCTTCTCCATCTTTGGCTGCAGAGAATATAATCAATCTGATTTCGATGCTGCCCATCTGGTGATGTCCATGTGTAGAGTCGTCTCTTGTGTTGTTGGAAAAGAGTGTTTGTGATGACCAGCTTGTTCTCTTGACAGAACTCTATTAGCCTTTGCCCTGCTTCGTTTTGAACTCCAAGGCCAAACTTGCCAGTGGTTCCTTTTATCTCTTGACTCCCTACTTTAGCATTCCAATCCCCTATTATGAGCAGAACATCCTTCTTTGGTGTCACTTCTATAAGGTGTTGTAAGTCTTCATAGAATTGGTCAATTTCAGTTTCTTCAGCACCAGTAGTTGGTGCATAAACTTGGATTACTGTGATGTTAAAAGGTCTGCCTTGGATTCGTATTGAGATCATTCTATCATTTTTGAGATTGCATCCCAGTACAGCTTTCGCCACTCTTTTGTTGACTATGAGGGCCACTCCATTTCTTTTACGGGTTTCTTGTCCACAGTAGTAGATATGATAGTCATCCGAACTGAATTCGCCCATTCCCGTCCATTTTAGTTCACTGATGCCCAAGATGTCAATATTTATTCTTGCCATCTCATTTTTGACCACATCCAACTTACCCAGGTTCATGGTTCTTACATTCCAGGTTCCTATGCAATATTTTTCTTTACAGCATTGGACTTTCCTTTCGCTTCCATGCATATCCGCAACTGAGCGTCCTTTCGGCTTTGGCCCAGCCGCTTCATCAGCTCTGGATCTACTTGTACTTGTCCTCCGCTCTTCCCCAGTAGCATGTTGGACACCTTCCGACCTGAGGGGCTCATCTTCCAGCGTCATAACTTTTATATGCCTGTTGTCTTTGTCCATGGAGTTTTCTTGGCAGGGATACTGGAGTGGCTTGCCAGTTCCTGCTCCAGGTGGATCACGTTTGGTCAAAACTCTCCACTATGACCTGTCCATCTTGGGTGGCCCTGCACGGCATAGCTCATAGCTTCTCTGAGTTATTCAAGCCCCTTCGCCACGGCAAGGCAGTGATCCATGAAGGGGGAAAAATCATTATTATCATTTATTAAATTTCTGTACCACCCTTCATCCAAGGATCACTGAGCAGTTTAAAACCACAAAAATACATACCATATAAAAACCACAAAATACAATATAAAAACCACAAAAATACAGACCACAGTAACAAACGAAAACAATGCCCCCCCCAGTTTAAAAGGCCATTGATTGATTAAGGCTTATGAGAAAAGGAATGTCCTCCCCACTTGCTCAAAGGCCTTTGTGCGAACTGAAGAACTCCTTCCGTGAAAAGAAGGGCACCTTTACATCCTGCTGATTGGGCATTTCCACCATATTTGAACGGTCTGCAGCCGTTCGAATTTTACCCCACACAAGCATAATACTGGTTCTGTTCACTTGCACTCACAGCTGTGTGGAAGCTGCTTCCCCATGGGGTAATTCCATGCTGCTTTGGAAATATAGGAATGAGGCTCTCACATAAGTGTGGTCTTTTCCTTTCATTCATTGGGATATGTGTTCATAGAAATGACTGTGGGTCTAATGAATTGTGATTAATGGTGGATTGTGCCCATCTAGTCTCTTGTGTGGGACACGGGTGGCGCTGTGACACCAATAGGATGAATTTGGGATTATCAGGAAACTCCCAGATCAACTTTTCAGGTGGCGTGAGGGATGTGCAAACAGAAGGTAACCCCCCCAAATGTGTGCAAAAGTGCATTATGTTCATACTGCAGGATTTTAAATAGGATTTAAAGGATTCTCTTTAAATAGTCTCCTCTTCTCTCTCTCTCCCCCCCTTCCTCCTGTAGATTAACTCCAGATCAAAGGTATATGATCGTCGCACATATAAATATTGACAGGGTGTCAATCTTGGCTGCCCCACCGGTAGGATCAATTGAGGACTGTGTTGTGATGGACACAATTCAGCTTGCAAGCGAAGTTAAGCCCCATCTTGTGGATGTCAGCAAGAAAACTGGAGCAATTTATGTAGCAGAAATTGGAGCCCAGCAAGTACAGAAGTATGTGCCTTTATACTGACAGCATCTTTCACACGGCACAAGGGACTTCCAGAATATTTCCTCTGTTGGATTGCTGTCGGCTGTGCAGCACAAGAACTTTTGGATTAACTTTGTTCATTTGAAGTGCACGTTTGTTTCACTTTTTGTGCCTATCTCAGGGATTTTAAGTGGTGGCAATTTTTGTGTTAGCTGGTTTTTATAGACTTGTTTGTTTTTTTAAGTCAGTGTCACCAGCACTACTAATTTTAAATCATTCAGGAGTAAATTTACCGCCACACAAACTGCTAGAAATACTAGTTTAATGCAGCTTCCATTAATCATCCCGTGATTGGGGAAAATTACTTCTTCATGGAGTCAGAATTTTCCATTTATTTGTAGCAGATTATCTCAGCTAAGGAGCCTGATTGCTTCTTTCCTGTGAATGGAGGAAAAAGAGGCTGATCTGGTCTGTATGGGAAGATCCTATAAAAGACTGCAAAACAGTCTTGGCTATGCGTATCTCAGGAAATGTCTCCTCCAAGTTTGAAAATGCAAGGTCTTTTAGCAATGCTCTTCTCTAGGGAGCCTCAAATAGCTTTCCACCAGAGTGGTATCTTTTAAAACTCTCTTGGGACTTCTGAAGCTTTGTGAATGACCAAGAAATTCAAGTTTGTTTACTCCTAAAGCAAACTGTCATGTTGTGACTACTCTTCCTGTTTGGGGTATTCTTTACATTCCCACTTTTGCGTGTATGGTTTGTTGTGTGAGCCCGGTTTGGCCGGGGTGGGGTATAAATAAATTATTATTATTATTATTATTATTATTATTATTATTATTATTATTAACAAAATTTGCAGAATATAAAAATACCATTCTTCTTCCATTCTCCTGGAATTGTTTTTTATTATTTGTAAAGCACCCAGTTCAGACTGGTGCTGTAAACATTTGAAGAGGCCCCTCTGCGTTTCAAGGGCTGCTTCATCCTCTATTCAAAGTCTTTGGTGTCCCACCTAAAGGCTATTCCTCAAAAGGTTATGTGAATGCATATATCAACTGGGGAACAGAGATTTGACTGCACCACCTTGATTCCTCCCCCCCCCTTTCTGCCTTAGGCCCCCTTCAATTATATGGCAGAAAAAGTGGGATTGGTAGCAAGTGTGTACACAGAACTTCAGTTTAACCTCTGCGTAGTTTGCCTGAGCCTGTGGACTGCCCTCAACCCGATCGGCTAATGTTGCCCCACCTTTGAGATCCTACATTTAACAGAGCAAGTTGGACTTACCGTGAAGTGTTCTTCTGGTCAGCGGAGAGTGGAGCATGCAGGAAAAAGTTAACTCCTCCTGGAGGTAGAGTTAGCACTGATTGACATGATTTGGTCCTGCTGAGCATCAGGAAGGGGAAATACCGTATTTTTCGCTCTATAAGACGCACCAGACCACAAGACGCACCTAGTTTTTGGAGGAGGAAAACAAGAAAAAAATTATTCTGGATCTCAGAAGCCAGAACAGCAAGAGGGATCGCTGCGCAGTGAAAGCAGCAATCCCTCTTGCTGTTCTGGGATAGCTGCGCAGCCTGCATTCGCTCCATAAAACATACACACATTTCCCCTTACTTTTTAGGAGGGGAAAAGTGAGTCTTCTAGAGCAAAATATACGGTAACTTTCTTGCAACTGATCCAACACCCAGTAATAACAATACTGAGAACAGTTCTGTTACAGTAGGACTGAACTGGCCCCAGACATTGAGGAACTTAACGTAACAGAGAGAATGAGGTACTCTGGGAGTTCCTGTTCTCGGCTGATCAGAGGAACGAGACCCAAGGAGCCTAAGGTCTGATCTGGGTGGAGCTGCTTGCTCCACTACCCCGTTCATCCCGAGTGGGTATGGACTTAGGCTACTCCATCCAAAGGCTGCGTTGGCAGAGGCATATTTGTTCATCTTGAGTGTCAACGTGGAAGGGAATCCTTCTCTGGCGATGCACTTCTGTGGACCACATTATGGTGGCTGCCCCCTGGATGGAGTGGGCAGCGATACTCCTTGGGGGAACTCTAGCTTTTGAGGTTGAATCCTGACAAGACAGATTGAGGTTGAATCCTGACAGAAGTACTGTTTTGGGGGGACGGGGTGGGCAGGTGTGGAGAACTCCCTGGTCCTGAATGGGGTAACTGTGCCCCTGAAGGACCAGGTGCACAGCCTGGGAGTAATTTTGGACTCACAGCTGTCCATGGAGGCGCAGGTCAATTCTGTATCCAGGGCAGCTGTCTACCAGCTCCACCTGGTACGCAGGCTGAGACCCTACCTGCCCGCAAACTGTCTCGCCAGAGTGGTGCATGCTCTAGTTATCTCCCGCTTGGACTACTGCAATGCGCTCTACGTGGGGCTACTTTTGAAGGTGACCCGGAAACTACAACCAATCCAGAATGCGGCAGCTAAACTGGTGACTGGGAGCAGCTGCCGAGACCATATAACACCGGTCTTGAAAGACCTACACTGGCTCCCAGTAGGTTTCTGAGCACAATTCCAAGTGTTGGTGCTGACCTTTAAAGCCCTAAACGGCCTCGGTCCAGTATACCTGAAGGAGCGTCTCCACCTCCATTGTTCTGCCCGGACACTGAGGTCCAGCGCCAAGGGCCTTCTGGCGGTTCCCTCGCTACGAGATGCCAAGTTACAGGTAACCAGGCAGAGGGCCTTCTCAGTAGTGGCACCTGCCCTGTGGAACGCCCTCCCACCAGATGTCAAAGAGAAAAATAACTTCCAAACTTTTAGAAGACATCTGAAGGCAGCCCTGTTTAGGGAAGCTTTTAATGTTTAATAGGTTATTGTATTTTAGTGTTCTGTTGGAAGCTGCCCAGAGTGGCTGGGGCAACCCAGCCAGATGGGCGTGGTATAAATAATAAATTTATATTATTATTATTATTATTATTATTATTATTATTATTATTATTATTATTATTATTAGCTTTGCCTCTATAAGCTCTTGACTGCACATTCCCATAGATAGTGGCTCTGGCCACTTGCTGGCCACATGCATCTGGTTTGAAGGAGACAAACAGGGACTCTTGTTTTAATGATTGGGCAAGTCCTGTTACAATAGATAGAATGTGTTTGAGGTCCTGCTTACTTGCCACTTCTTTTACCTGAAGTGTCTGGGACGAGGGCAGAAACTCGGAACAACTATGTCCTGGGAACGGTGGAAGGAGGAGAGAAAGCTGGGGTCAGGTCATTTTATCTGTGTGAAAGATGCAGCATTCCTTATTGAGACCATATAACACTGGTCTTGAAAGACCTACACTGGCTCCCAGTACGTTTCCGAGCACAATTCAAAGTGTTGGTGCTGACCTTTAAAGCCCTAAACAGCCTCGGTCCAGTATACCTGAAGGAGCGTCTCCACCCCCATCGTTCTGCCCAGACACTGATGTCCAGCACCGCGGGCCTTCTGGCGGTTCCCTCACTGTGAGAAGCCAAGTTACAGGGAACAAGGCAGAGGGCCTTCTTGGTAGTGGCGCCCGCCCTGTGGAACGCCCTCCCACTGGATGTCAAAGAGAAAAATAACTACCAAACTTTTAGAAGACATCTAAAGGCAGCCCTGTTTAGGGAAGCTTTTAATGTTTAATAGGTTATTGTATTTTAGTGTTCTGTTTGAAGCCGCCCAGAGTGGCTGGGGGGGGGGACCCAGCCAGATGGGCGGGGTATAAATAACAAATTATTATTATTATTATTATTATTATTATTATTATTATTATTATTATTATTATTGATGGAGAGAGCCCCCGGCTCCTGGTTGACGTCACCACTGACAGGAATACAGTGGTACCTCAGGTTAAGAACTTAATTTGTTCTGGAGGTCCGTTCTTAAGCTGAAACTGTTCTTAACCGGAGGTACCACTTTAGCTAATGGGGCCTCCTGCTGCTGCCACCGCCACGCAATTTCTGTTCTCATCCTGAAGCAAAGTTCTTAACCTGAGGTACCATTTCTGGGTTAGCGGAGTCTGTAACCTGAAGCGTCTGTAACCCGAGGTACCACTGTACAAGTCTTGAAGGAGAGATCCTTGAGCAGGATGCATCCTCTCCTTTGCTGCCAGGCTTTCAGGCAGCTGCAGAGCAGAAGAAACATGACAAACCTCTCATGCATGGGGCCTTGTGGGAGTTCTTCGAACACGTCACTTTTCCAGAAAAGGAATGTTATTTAATGTCAGTCCTACCCCACTAGGTTTGGCAGCCTTTGCAAATGGATATCCTACTTTCAAGGTACAGGCTGACATTTACACTTATCCTGTAAAGCCACAGCTATGAAAGATAGATGAGGAGGGAGAGTATAAATTTAGTAAGTAATAATAAAAAATAAAGGAGGAAGGGAAACTCAACCAGACGGCTGAAGTATCATAGAGAAGACATTTATTTACAGATTCTAAAATACAAACGATATCGTACATTTTATATTATATTACAAAGATGAATATTAAAATAAACAATACAGCACAATACGTCAATAAGTACCTAGCTATTAGTAACAAAAATTGGAAGATGTTTGTCATTGCTCTTGCATAAGTCATAATATTCTACTGTGCCACACCCACAATTCTCACTGGACAGAACTGTCTCCTTCCTGCCCTTCATAGAACGTCCCTATCTAAAAGGCTACATACGCTGAGTAAAATATTGCATTTTGGTAAGAAACTTGGAAAAACATTGAGGTTAATAAAATGTATATAGGTCTGAAAAGGCCATTAATAAAACATGAGAACACGTGTACACAGATTATATAAAATACTGGAAAAAATGGCCCTTTAGTCCATTAGGGTTTTTGTTTTAGTTTAAAACGTGGTATAATACTGAAATTCATATGATCTAGAGCAGAGCAAAACAAAACAGAAGTGCAAGGAGTATTAATCGCAATTGCTCTGCTCCACAGTGATTTTCTGCGAGCGGCTCATCGCCCGAAGCAGTAATGAAAGTAGTGGTCTCGAAACAAAACTATCCAAGTAAACAAAGAAGGACTTGTCCTCTGTTGCTATTTCTTGGTCTTGTGCGACATTGAGCCGCACTCTCTGTGCCAAGGAGAATGAAGACCTTGCAGCAGGCAATGCCCACATCTCCCTTTCACATGAAAACTACTAGAGCGGAAGCAAGTCGCTTGCATTTCCTTTGTTGCTACTTTTGATGAAGATCTGAAGCTGTGCGGCGAAAGAAGGAAACGAGAAGCAGACGCGGACATACTGGTCTTCGTTGCTCCTCTATGGAGTGAATGTAATGAATCAAGATAACGAGAGCATAAGAAAGCATGCCTGAAGAGGAAGTCTATATAAATGGGCTCTGTGGATGTATATGTGCTGTGCTTTGAGGAATGTGTGCATGAATTAACATGGAGGAAGAAGGATCTGAACAGGCAATCTGTGAGCATTTCCATCTGTGAATGAAGAGAAACCTACCGTATTTTTTGCTCTATAAGACTCACTTTTTCCCTCCTAAAAAGAAAGGGGAAATGTGTGTGCGTCTTATGGAGTGTATGCAGGCTGCGCAGCTATCCCAGAAGCCAGAACAGCAAAAGGGATTGCTGCTTTTACTGTGCAGAGATCCCTCTTGTTGTTCTGGCTTCTGAGGTTCAGAAACTAGGTGTGTCTTATGGTCTGGTGTGTCTTATAGAGCAAAAAATACAGTATGTTGCATAGGTGTGATACGGTGAGAAGAACGTGCACACCAAATGTACACTTTACAAAATGTCTGCAATAGAGCAACGCCCCTTTTTTGCATCGTGGAATTGTGGTGTTGGGATGGAACTACGCTCAACTCTCCCCACCCGCCATGCCAAAAAAGACTCTACTCACAGCTGCAATCCGTTCCTGAGCCCAGCTGGAAGTCGAAATGGGTCGCTGGGAGAGGCGCCGTTGTGTGCAGACGTGGACGGCAATTGCCCGCTTCTGCGCATATGCGAACGGCAATCACCACTCCTGCGCATGTGTGAACGGCAGCAAACCTGCCGGTTATTTCCGGCTTTGCCGCGGACGTTGGGCGAAACGGACGCAAGCGGAGGCGGATGTAAGAAGAGGTTTGACTGTACACACAAATACCTGTAAAAACATACGCAATGTGTACTTTGGCCATATTTCTGCAGGTTATGTGAAAGTAAAGGAGCGAGTTAACATGTGCATTTGTGAAAGGAGAGAAATGACTTGATGTGGATCTCTGTGCTTTTTAAAAAAAATTTAAATAACAAAGAAAACCCCTTGGCCGCTTTGCCTGAGTATCAGAGCCTTCCGCAGTGAGCTACTACTACAAACTGCTTAATGGTATGCAGACAGGCAAACGAGTCCAATTGGCTGGAGCCTGGTACATTGTAAAAAAAATATCTCCACATAATCTGCAGTTAGGTGCCGTGTGAAGGAAAAAGTGTCTGTGCAAAAGTAGGCAGATGTGCTTTACAGGAGTCACGTAACAAGTTTCATAGTTAAGTTCACAAAATTAAAACTCCGCATCAGATTGGCTAATACTTTTAAGGCCTCAAAATAGATGCCATCCACACACACACACACAAGGCAGGTGCTGTAGCTGTGAGCCGACGTGGCTGATCACGTCAGAGAAATCACGTCAGAAAAACCGTGAAGAAATGCCCCCTTTATGTCCAATCCCCTGTCATGTTAAATAATATTTTATAAGGCTACATCCTTGTCTTCCAGCATGTAGTTTTTTCAACCCTTTCAACTGAAGCACTGCTTAAAAACCCTTAATTTCCTCCTCCCTACACACAAGAAAGTGAATGCTTCCTGCATTTTCTACTACACCACAATAGGCTAGGAATAAAGTGGTTAAGAGCATACGCTCCATGAAATTCCTGGTTTATACCCCTAAGTTACAGAGAACCCCACTGTTCATTCAGTGTCAAACCTCACTGACTCTTGTTTGTATTGATCTGGCTACAGTGAAGAACAACGCACCTTTCCAAGAAAGGCTTACATGCACATTTATTTTCCTCTCTCTCTCTCCCCCCCCCACTCCAAATCCCTCAACTGGTTCTCTTTGTGCTGCATCTTTCTGGTCTCAGTAAGGGTACTGTTTCTGCTTCTTGCCAGAGAAGCAAGCCAACCAAGTGCAGATCAACATCGCAGCAGCGGCTCCTCCTCCTGTGCAATAGTAAGCCCAGCCAATTTCACAGGTGCCTACAGGTAAACAAAAGACAAAGGACAATATTAGATGGGTTCCACCATTATTATTTTTCTTTTTTCCCCCTTTTAAATTAAAAATGCAAACTGCAATTAATTGAAGGAAACACTGCAAATAACAAATAAGAGGTGCATTTTTGTTACAAGGCATGTCGTTATTTTGGGTGCGCGAATATTAAAACGGGAACTTTTCTGTCCCGGTAACATCAAGATGGAGAATTATGCATAACTTCCCATTTCAGTGTGGGGGACTTGGGCTGCAATGTCTGCATTGTGTACAAGCTGGTGTCTTGTCACTAGGGATGACCCAAAAGCTTGAATCGCCAGATGATGAATGCTAGTTTTAGGAAAAAGACGCCATGTATTCCTTTTTTTTATATATAAAATTTTTTATTGGTTTTCCAACATAAAGTAAACACAATACACTTCACAATACACAAACAAACAAAAACATATAAACATGTATACAGTAGTGCCCCGCAAGACGAATGCCTCGCAAGACAAAAAACTCGCTAGACGAAAGGTTTTTTCGTCCGCGATTTGCCTCGCAAGACGAATTCCCCTATGGGCTTGCTTCGTAAAACGAAAACGTCTCGCGACTTTGTTTCCTTTGTGTAAAAACCGTTAAAACCAAGGGTGCTTAGCTTGAGCAGCTGCAGTTGCGACTTGACTTCGAGGAGCAACTGTTAGCACGTGGTTTGGTAGCCTTTTCTCAGACTTTGCTCACTTTTGAAGATTTTCCAGAACTTTTCCAGAACTTCTCTTTCATCCATTTGGTAAGTTAAACTTTTAAAACTTTTTTGGGGGGTTTTGGATTTTGGGTTGGGGTGTTTGGGATTCAAGGACTTGGTGTTGGGAAGGGGTTTGCGATAATCTGGGGGCTTGTGGGCCTTTTTTGGGAATTTTTATGATTTTCTGTGACCACTGGGCCAGGTTGTTTTTTTTTTGAAAATTTTTCTGAGTTTGAATTTCTGAGTGCTGGCTGGCTGGGGGAACAGTTGGGGAGGTTTCTGCAGAAATCTGGGACCATGTGGGGTTTTTTGGGGAATTTTTATGATTTTCTGTGACCATTGGGCCAGGTTGTTTTTTTTTTGAAAATTTTTCTGAGTTTGAATTTCTGAGTGCTGGCTGGCTGGGGGAACAGTTGGGGAGGTTTCTGCAGAAATCTGGGACCATGTGGGGTTTTTTGGGGAATTTTTATGATTTTCTGTGACCATTGGGCCAGGTTGTTTTTTTTTTGAAAATTTTTCTGAGTTTGAATTTCTGAGTGCTGGCTGGCTAGGGGAACAGTTGGGGAGGTTTCTGCAGAAATCTGGGACCATGTGGGGTTTTTTTGGAATTTTTATGATTTTCTGTGACCACTAGGCATGGTTGTTTTTTTTCAAAAAAATTTTCGGAGTTTGAATTTCTGAGTGCTGGCTGGCTAGGGGAACAGTTGGGGAGGTTTCTGCAGAAATCTGGGACCATGTGGGGTTTTTTTGGAATTTTTATGATTTTCTGTGACCACTAGGCATGGTTGTTGTTTTTTTCAAATTTTTTTTCTGAGTTTGAATTTCTGAGTGCTGGCTGGCTAGGGGAACTGTTGGGGAGGTTTCTGCAGAAATCTGGGGGCTTGTGGGGTTTTTTTGGAATTTTTATGATTTTCTGTGACCACTAGGCATGGTTGTTGTTTTTTTCAAATTTTTTTTTCTGAGTTTGAATTTCTGAGTGCTGGCTGGCTAGGGGAACTGTTGGGGAGGTTTCTGCAGAAATCTGGGGGCTTGTGGGGTTTTTTTGGAATTTTTATGATTTTCTGTGACCACTAGGCATGGTTGTTTTTTTTTTCAAATTTTTTTTTCTGAGTTTGAATTTCTGAGTGCTGGCCATGTTGTTATTTTTTGAAATTTTTTTTTGTCTGGGTGGGGAAGCAGTTGGGGAGGGGTTTGCAGCAGTTGGGGAGGGGCTGGGGGAGCAGTTGGGGAGGGGTTTGCAATTTCTGTGTTGTGGGTGGGTTGGTGCGTGTCTGTGGGAGCAGTTGAGGTTTTTGAAGACATTGGTGATTTTTGAAGCTTTTCCTAAACTTATTTTGCAGCCATTTGAGGTTTCTGAGGACTTCGGTGGTTGATTGTTGAAGCTTTTCCAGAACTTCTCTTTCATCCATTTGGTAAGCTAAACTTTTAAAACTTTTTTGGGGGTTTTTGGATTTTGGATTTGGGGTTGGGGTGCTTGGGATTCAAGGCCTTGGTTCTGGGTTTTAATTTCTGTGTGGTGGGTGGCTGGCTGCTTTTGTATTTTTTGGGTTTGAAGCACATCACTGATTTTTTTTTCTGTTTCTGAGTTTACGAAGGTAGAAGCTGTGCTGCCATGGGACCCAAGAAGACTGCTGCTGCGGTGGCCGGCGAGAGGAAGAAGGAGAAGGTGACGCTGGAAATGAAGAAGGAGATCATCTGGAAGCACGACGGCGGAATGCGTGTGACGGACATCGCCAGGGAGTACGGCAGGAACCCATCGACCATCGGGACCATCCTGAAGATGAGGGAGAAGATCCTGGCGACTGATGCAGCCAAGGGAGTCACCAGGATCGTGAAGAACCGCCCAGCTGTCCTGGAGGAGGTCGAGAAGTTGCTGCTCATCTGGATAGAAGAGAAGCAGCGTGCAGGGGACACAGTGTCTGAGGCCGTCATTTGTGAGAAGGCCAAGGCCTTGCACGCTGACCTCATCCGGGAACAGCCAGGAACCTCAGCCGAGCCAGAAGTCTTCAAGGCTAGCAGAGGTTGGTTTGACCGGTTCAAGACAAGATCTGGCATCCACAGCGTGGTCAGGCATGGAGAGGCTGCCAGTTCTGATGTTCCTGCGGCTGAAGACTTTGCAGCGGAGTTCCTGGAGCTTGTGAAGACGGAGGGCTACGTTCCGCAGCAGGTCTTCAACTGTGACGAGACCGGGCTGTTTTGGAAGAGGATGCCCAAAAGGACTTTCATCACTCAGGAGGAGTCCAGGCTGCCTGGCCACAAGCCCATGAAGGACCGCCTGACCCTGCTCTTCTGTGCCAACGCAAGCGGCGACCTGAAGATCAAGCCCCTGCTGGTGTACCACTCGGAGAACCCACGGGCCTTCAAGAGACACAAGATCGACAAGGAGCGGCTGAGTGTCATGTGGCGATCCAACAGCAAGGCTTGGGTCACACGTGTGCTGTTTGTGGACTGGGTCAATCTTGCTTTTGGCCCTGCTGTCAAGCAGTACCTGCTGGACAACGACCTGCCGCTGAAGGCTTTGCTTCTGATGGACAATGCTCCTGCCCATCCTAAAGGCCTTGAGGTGGACTTGTTGGAGGAGTTCAGCTTCATCAACATCATGTTCCTGCCGCCTAACACCACGCCACTGCTCCAGCCGATGGATCAGCAGGTCATCGCCAATTTCAAAAAACTCTACACCAAGGAGCTTTTCAGGCGATGCTTCGAGGTGACTGACTGCACCACCATCACCCTGCGGGAATTCTGGAAGGACCACTTCGACATCGTCACCTGCTTGAAGATGGTCAACACGGCCTGGAAAGGGATCAGCCAGAGAAATTTGAATTGCGCTTGGCGCAGCCTGTGGCCGGACTGTGTGGCACCAAGTGACTCTGATGCACCAGAGTCAACAGTGGTGCAGGACATTGTTGCCTTGGGGAGGACCATGGGCCTGGAGGTCACGGAGGAGGACGTCTGCGAGCTGGTGGAGGGGCACGACGACGAGCTGACCACCGTGGAGCTGGTCGAACTGCAGGCAGAGGCTGCGCAGGAGCAGGCCTCACTGGAAGAGGAGGAAGCAACTGAGGAACGGCTGTCCTCCGAAAGACTGAGGGACATTTGCCAGAAGTGGAAGGAGGTGCAGACTTTTGCAGATCTACACCACCATGAGAAGCACGTGGCACATGACGCTGGGAACTTTTATGATACGAGGGTCATGTCGTCTTTCAGGGAGCTGCTGAAAAGGCGGATGAAGCAGCAGACTATGGACAGGTTCTTGAGCAAGAAGCAAAGAGTGGAAAAGGAGCCTTCTTTGAGTGGTCCCCCAGAGTCTTAGAAAATGTACTATACACTTTGTTGATTTTTAAATGTTTTTCTGTCATGTTTATAAAGTTAATTTATTTTCCCTTCAATTTTTCAACTGCTCTTTACAGTATGTGTGACTTTAAAGAGCAGTTAATAAACTGTTGTTGTACCAAATTTGGCTTTGTTTGGACTTTTTTTGACCATAGGAACGCATTAATTGATTTTCAATGCATTCCTATGGGATTTCGTGCTTCGCAAGACGAAAAATTCGCTAGACGACAAAAATTGCGGAACGAATTAATTTCGTCTTGCGGGGCACCACTGTAGTTTCATAACCTCTTTTTCTTAAGCTTGTTTCACCGGCTTCCCCATGCCTCCCTTTTCTACATCCCTATTTTAAGATTTTCTCAGCAACCCCTCGCTTCATTAACATATTGTTCATTTTCTTTGATCCTTCTTCTCTTACCCAATCATTTACAGCTGTAATTCTGTTTTTTTCAATACCCTTGACATTTTAACACTCATTAATTTTATAACAATTCTTAAGATAATCTTTGTACTTCTTCCAGTCTTCTTCCACCATCTCTTTCCCTTGGTCACGGATTCTGCCAGTCATCTCAGCCAGTCCCATGTAGTCATTCACCTTCGTCTGCCATTCTTCCAGCGTGAAGACGCCATGTATTCCTTAGAAATAGGGATGCGGGTGGCACTGTGGGTTAAACCACAGAGCCTAGGACTTGCCAATCAGAAGGTTGGCAGTTCGAATCCCCATGACGGGGTGAGCTCCCGTTGCTCAGTCCCTGCTCCTGCCAACCTAGCAGTTCGAAAGCACGTCAAAGTGCAAGTAGATAAATAGGTACCGCTCCGGCGGGAAAGTAAACGGCATTTCCGTGCACTGCTCTGGTTCGCCAGAAGTGGCTTAGTCATGCTGGCCACATGACCCGGAAGCTGTACGCTGGCTCCCTCAGCCAATAAAGCGAGATGAGCGCCGCAACCCCAGAGTCGGTCACGACTGGACCTAATGGTCAGGGGTCCCTTTACCTGTACTTTATTCCTTAGAAATAATAGGCAAAAATTGCATGTCGTCTTATACACGGAAAGCAGAGGGTGATTGGTGGCATTAGCCAGCAGGAAATTATCAGCGGCGATTGATGCTGCAGTGAGGCCTGCTGACAATTAGCTGCGGCAATTGGTTGGTTGATTTACGGCAGTGGGGAGGCGTGCATGCAACTGGCTGTGGTTGTGTCGAGTGGGAAGGTCGAGCAATTGGGGTTGGTGACCACCCCCCAAAAGAAGAGGAGGTTGGATTTGATATCCCGCTTTATCACTACCCTAAGAAGTCTGAAATGGGACACGGGTGGTGCTGTGGGTTAAACAACAGAGCCTAGGACTTGCCGATCAGAAGGTCGGAGGTTCGAATCCCCATGACGGGGTGAGCTCCCATTGCTTGGTCCCTGCTCCTGCCAACCTAGCAGTTCAAAAGCACGTCAAAGTGCAAGTAGATAAATAGATACCGCTCCGGCGGGAAGGTAAACGGTGTTTCCGTGTGCTGCTCTGGTTCGCCAGAAGCGGCTTAGTCATGCTGGCTACATGACCCGGAAGCTGTACGCCGGCTCCCTCGGCCAATGAAGCAAGATGAGCGCCGCAACCCCAGAGTCGTCCATGACTGGACCTAACGGTCAGGGGTCCCTTTACCTTTACCTTTAAGGAATCTCAAAGCAACTAACAATCTCCTTCCCTTCCTCCCCCACAACACTCTGTGCGGTGAGTGAGGCTGAGAGACTTCAAAGAAGTGTGACTAGCTCAAGGTCACCCAGCAGCTGCATGTGGAGGAACAGGGAAGCGAACCCGATGCTCTTAACCACTACACCACACTGGCTCTCAACAACTCTGGGCAATCTCCCTCCCCCCAAAAAAGCTCAACAACTTTGGGCAATTTCCCCCTAATTATTATTTTTTTGCAGTCCCAAGGAATAGGGGTCGTCTTCTACATGGGGGCATGTTATACACGGAAAAATACGGTACTTCTGCCCCAGTAGAGTTTGCTTAGGATCTCCAGACAAGAGATCCAAGTTGCTCATTAGCTCACCTGTCCCCCCAAACCCCTTTGGGCACATTGCCTCCAGGCAACTCTCTGCTACTGGATTGCTTATTCATTCAATTGGGCAGGCTTTGCAGCACTTGGGAGAGCAACATGGGGAGAGCCACCATGACTCCAATTCATGAGCTTGAGAGTTTAAGTGACACAAACGGCCCACTCTAAAGCAGATGGAAGCATCAGGTCCCTGGATACATGCGGCAGGCAGATCCCTCTCCTCCTCATTCCCAAGCACTTTGCGCATGCCTCATGATGACAACTGAGAGACATGCTATACAGTCATACCTCAGGTTACAGCCGCTTCAGGTTGCGTTTTTTCGGGATGCGGACCGCTGAAACCCGGAAGTACCGGAATGGGTTACTTCCGGGTTTCGGCGATCGTGCTTTGCGCATGCACAGAAGCGCCGAATCATAACCCGTGCATGCGCAGACGCGCAGATGCAGGTTGCGAACGCTGTGGGTTGAGAACGTGCACCTTGCACGGATCACGTTCGCAACCCGAGTGTCCACTGTATACAGCGGTACCTCAGGTAACAAACACCTCGGGTTACAAATACTTCAGGTTACAAACGCCACTAACCCGGAAGTAGTACCTCGGGTTGAGAACTTTACCTCAGGATGAGAACGGAAATTGTGTGCCAGTGGTGCGAGAGGCCCCATTAGCAAAAGCACACCTCAGGTTAAGAACAGTTTCAGGTTAAGAACGGACCTCCGGAATGAATTAAGTTCTTAACCTGAGGTACCACTGTACTACAATCCCAAATCACCCATATGCAGCCTCATGGTGTTCCTGCAGACCTCCCAAGCTACTAGTGGGAGGAGACAGGTACCATACCACAAATCAAATACAATAAAATCCTGGCAGGTTCTCAAGAGTAGGCAGAAGGCAGACATTTTCCTCTGTAACAGGAGGGCTGGTGGCAACTGTCCTAACTTTGGTAGTGGCGGAATTTCAGTGGTCAGGGCGACAGAAAGGCTTAAGCAGATCATGCAAAGTGCTTCAGCGGACTCAGTCAAAACCGTTAACTTTATTTAAACCTGCTCCATTGGCAGCCACTTACTTACCCAGCTCAAACTGGTTGGAAAGGTAACCACAGGTCTGCTGGACTTCTTCACTGTCCCAGCCCAGAGGATAAAGAGCACAGCCAGAACCAATTAACAAGCCTGCAGACCAAAAGAAAATGGAGGTCAGGGAGAAGGCAGCAAGAGGTCTTCAGAGAATTGCGAATCAGGGAAGTTAAGCCTTTACAAGGCTGATTTTTCATAAACAGCAAGCTGAGTGGATACCTTGCTAGCTGCTCATCTTTGAAGAAGCCAGGTGGAGTTTCTGTTAGAAATTATTCTAATTATTATCTATTGTATTCACAACTCTAGCTAGAGGTTCCCAGGGCAGTAAATGTTGCCCAGAGTATCACGTATTAAGTATACTAGGGTATGTTGTGCCAAAACAATATATAGCTTTTTTCAGTCTGTGGCAATAATGTTCAACCAGCCTTGGAAGAGTACCAATTCATTTTTTGGCCCGTTCACTTGCATATGTAGATTCTTTCCGGACTCAATGCATACATATTTTATTTATACTCCGCTCACACGACTATGGCCACGTGACCCGGAAGTGTCTCCGGACAGCGCTGGCTCCCGGCCTCTTAAGTGAGATGAGCGCACAACCCTAGAGTCGGACACGACTAGCCCGTACGGGCAGGGGTACCTTTACCTTTACCTTTACACACAACTATGACGTGGCTTGCCCTTTAAGTCCTCAGCCAGGGCTTTGGAAAAACATGAGGAATGAGGTATGCTTCTGGATGTGACAGTAGGATTCCTGACTCTCTCCCTGCACAATTAGGAATAATCTGTTTACCAGACTGGCCTTCCTTGTCAGTGCAATTATTTACAAGCTGGTGGATGTCTGCTCATGAAAGGCTCATAAATCACACAGCAACAGACTGGAAAAAACCAAGCACACATTTTGCTGGGAATAAAACAAAGGCAAGAAACACAAAAATCCCTGAGGGAGTTCCTAAAGTCCGCTTCGGAGGAGGGAAGTGTTATTGGAATTTCATTTTTAGCTTAACCAAGCAAGATCTGGAAGGTAAAGGCACACATTTAGAATTAAAATAAGCAAAAACTTGGCATGTGTCACTCAAAGCGATGCATGTTTACTCGGAACTGAGCTTCACTGTTTTCAGCAGGGATCTATTCTCAAGTGTGTGCCTCACATACGAATGTTTAACACTGTGCCGGGCATTTGCTTAAAAAGCAAGCTGCGTTACAACAATGGTCCCTTATTGAGGGGCCAAGGAAGGTAGACTGCTTGGATGGGTTTTCAAGGTGTAAGCTTAAAATGAGGAAAAAAACATATGCACCCCACTTTGATGAGAATTCCATGCACAATTCCTCACTGGAGATGGTTGCGCATAAGGAATGACCTTTAAAAATCTGGCAGTTCTAAGAATATTCCCACCCACCCACCCCAAACTCTTAGGCTTCCAAGCAAATTTGTAAGATACTTATATTTTGGGAGTGCTGCCTGGAAACTGCTTCCATCACGGTTCCAGCTGCTCAGTCCCACTCCTCTCACTCGGAGGAACTTGGAGGGAGCTGTTGCCTGGCAATGGCCTATGAGAAAACTTGAAGACAGTTCCCATCTTGTTTGGAGTGAGATCCAGAAACTCAGACCCATTCCTTTGCCTCAGAGAAGTTTGGAGAGAGCTCCTGTCTTCCAACTAAGGACATCGGAAAGGGCAGGAAATGTTGCCTGAATAATCCTAGGTCCCTGTGGAGACCACGGGTCGCACCCAACCAAGTCATCCTCTTCGCACAAGGACTTCCATTTGCGCAACGGGACCCTCTCCTATCCTTGCGTGAGAGGCAGAGAGAGATTTTACTTTCTTGGGCTCCATGATCACTGCAGATGGTGACAGCAGTCACGAAATTAAAAGACGTCTGCTTCTTGGGAGAAAAGCGATGACAAACCTAGACAGCATCTTAAAAAGCAGAGACATCACCTTGCCAACAAAGGTCCGTATAGTTAAAGCCATGGTTTTCCCAGTAGTGATGTATGGAAGTGAGAGCTGGACCATCAAGAAGGTTGATGGCCGAAGAATTGATGCTTTTGAATTATGGTGCTGGAGGAGACTCTTGAGAGTCCCATGGACTGCAAGAAGATCAAACCGATCCATTCTTAAGGGAATCAGCCCTGAGTGCTCACTGGAAGGACAGATCCTGAAGCTGAGGCTCTAATACTTTGGCCACCTCATGAGAAGAGAAGACTCCCTGGAAAAGACCCTGATGTTGGGAAAGATGGAGGGCACAGGGAGAAGGGGACGACAGAGGACGAGATGGTTGGATAGTATTCTCGAAGCTACCAGCATGAGTTTGACCAAACTGTGGGAGGCAGTGGAAGACAGGAGTGCCTGGCGTGCTCTGATCCAGGGGGTCACGAAGAGTTGGACACGACTAAATGACTAAACAACAACAAAGATGGGAAAGCATCAAATTTTTCTGGAACTGCACACAATATATTTCGAAAAAATCCCTTGCCTGCGGAGAGAAGCAACCGATCTACTATCTGATCCTCTGCCTAGAAGCAGCTATAGGTATCAGATCACAACTCTTTATTATTGAATCAATTATTTCTGAACAGCAGGGAAGCAGGAATTAATTTAGTAATATACATTCATGGATTGCGAAGAACGCAAACAACTCCATATGAGGATAAAAGGCTGTGCCAGTAACTGCTGAATTGATTTTTTTTAAGCCCCACTGGCACCAAAGCTACCATTAAATTGAGTTTTTCTTTCTGCAAAACGAATGTCAGGACTCTATAAAACCCTTTGCTTGTTGGATATCAAAGTGGTGATTAAAGATTCTGCAAACACTAATAATTGCTTCCCAAGTGACCATAGTTCATAAAGATGTCTTATAATGAGTATTCACCGCAGAGTGTTCAGTGCTCCAAATTCGTAATAAAGGTTACATTTAATACCCGGCTCTTCTCAAATTACATTCAAGAGTTGTTAATTAATACATCTCAAATGCAGTAAAAATGGACAAAAAGCCAACACTCCTCTGATAATATAACAGAGCATTCACAGCAGAGTCAAATTGTTAAAAGTATTTTAAAAGAAAGGGGGGGGGAGGAAATCCTTTCCATTAGGAAGCAATTCCACAAAATTAAGGCTGCTAAAAAGAAGATCCTACTTCACATCCTAGGGCAGTCAGTATTTCTGGAACTAATAATAAATAATAATAATAAAATAAAATTTTATTTATATCCCGCCCTCCCCAGCCAAACCTGAGCTCAGAGCGGCTAACAACAGTAAAGTAATACAGCATTCTAAAATCATTTCATTATAAAATCAGTTCAAATCAAATTAATGGCAACCACTGGGCTAGAGTTCTGTGAGGATTGCCAAAGGAGGGGGTCAGACTGTGTCCTGGCCAAAGGCCAAGTGGAACAGCTCTGTCTTGCAGGGGCTGCGGAAAGATGTCAAGTCCCGCAGGGCCCTAGTCTCTTGTGACAGAGTGTTCCACCAGATCGGGGCCACAGCTGAAAAAGCCCTGGCTCTGGTCGAGGCCAGCCTAACCTCCCTGTGGCCTGGGACCTCCAGGATGTTTTTGTTTGAAGACCGTAAGGTCCTCTGTGGGACATACCAGGAGAGGTGGTCCCGTAGGAACAAGGGTCCTAAGCCATATAGGACTTTAAAGGTTAAAACCAGCACCTTAAACCTGATCCTGTACTCCACCGGGAGCAAGTGCAGCCAGTGCTGCTGGCAGAATGTGATCCCACAGCGAGGACCCCGTAAGGAGTCTCGCTGCAGCATTCTGCACCCACTGGAGTTTCTGGGTCAGTCACAAGGGCAGCCCCACGTAGAGCGAAGTACAATAATCCAGTCTGGAGGTGACCGTCGCATGGATCACAGTGGCTAGGTCAGGGCGAGAGAGGTAAGGAGCCAACTGCTTAGCTTGGCGGAGATGAAAAAATGCCGCCTCTGTTATAGCTGCAATCTGCGCCTCCATGGAAAGGGAGGTGTCGAAGATTACACCCAAACTCTTAACGGACGGTGCTGGCACTAATTGCGCCCCCGCAAGAGATGGGAGTTGCCCCCCCAATCCCATATGGTCCCATCCCAGCCACAGGACCTCTGTCTTTGAAGGATTTAACTTCAACCGGCTCCCACGTAACCATCCAGCCACAGCGTCCAAACATCTGATCAGTGTGTCTGGGGCCAAGTCAGGATGGCCATCCATCAACAGATAGTTGGGTGTCATCAGCATGACTACAACTCCCATCATCCCTAGCAAGCAAGATCAGTTGTCTGGGATGATGGGAATTGTAGTCTGAAAACAGCTGGAGACCCAATTTCGGGAAACACTGCCCTAGTACAAGGGTGGGAAACTGTCATGGAGAGGTTAAAGGTAAAGGGTAAAGGGACCCCTGACCATTAGGTGCAGTCGCGGCCGAGTCTGGGGTTGCGGCGCTCATCTCGCTTTATTGGCCGAGGGAGCCGGCGTACAGCTTCCGGGTCATGTGGCCAGCATGACTAAGCCGCTTCTGGCGAACCAGAGCAGCACACGGAAACGCCATTTACCTTCCCGCCGGAGCGGTACCTATTTATCTACTTGTACTTGACGTGCTTTTGAACTGCTAGGTTGGCAGGAGCTGGGACCGAGCAACGGGAGCTCACCCCGTCGCAGGGATTTGAACCGCCGACCTTCTGATCAGCAAGTCCTAGGCTCTGTGGTTTAACCCACAGCACCACCTGCGTCCCATGGAGAGGTTGGATACAGAGAAATGGTGGGAGGAACCAGCTGGTGGGAGGAACCCAAGAAGCCTCAGAGGCCGGGGAGTGGTGGTGGGACAACAATGAGTAGTCAGAGGGAGAAGACTGGGAAGAGGAGGTATCGGAAACTGATGTGGGTAACAGGGATGAGCGGGCTTAGAGAAGTCTAGAGGCAGAAGCTGATGCAGGATGGTGGGAGGAACGAGGCCAAGAGGCAGAGACGAGTCAGGCTGGTGAAGAGTCACGGGTGTCTCCCCCTCCTGCTACAACAAGCACCCGTCCTCTCTGGTCTCCCAGAACCAGAAGAGGGATGAAAAGGGCTCCCAATACATTTCCAAGCACAATTCCAAGTGTTGGTGCTGACCTTTAAAGCCCTAA